TTTTATCTAAAAATGAGTCTAAGAAATTAATCAAAAAAATTGCAATATGATATAACTATGATAAGAAGCAAACTTTACTCTCAAAAATTTGAGAGTATTATTTGAAATAAAAATTAAAAATCATGTGGATTAGTTTTAAATGCAATTGAATACATGAATACATATTCTTAATTGCAAGATTGCAATTTATTGTGAGAAATTTGATAACTTAGTTTTAATTTTTGTTTCAAACAGATTTTTCCAAATAATTTTTAATATTTTGTATTTTAAGTTAACATTATTAGATTGAACGCAAATCAATAAATTCAAGTATTTTTTAATAAAATTATTATTAAAAAAATGTAAATTAAATGTGAAATAATTACATTTTTTTGACATCAAGCTTTTATTTCAAAAATATTATTAACAACATTATCTGCAGATTCTTCGTCTCAAGTTTAACATATAACATTATTTTTTTATAACATGCAAGAAAGTAAGTTTAGATATATTATATATAAGTTTTATTACATAATCTTACAAAAATTCTTTTTCTACTGTTTTTTATGATTAAACACCTTCTTTAATTGTATCAAAAATATCAGATTTTGAAAAAACTTTCATACTTTTTTTCTCTTTTTGATAAGATAAATATTAATTTAATCATTTCAATTTATCCATGTATTTTAACAATATATGTTTTTATGTAATAAATTTTATAATTAAATATGCTTGGTGTCGACTCTATTGCTGAGGAGCTTGGAGATCTTATTTTTTTAAGGGATACGATATCCAACAAAAAGCTATGTTCAGGCATGCTCAAAAAATATAGAGTACAATGGCGTGATTATGATGAATTTTTCATTGGTGTACAACAGTGAAGAAGCCGAAGTAAGAAGTAGGCTTCAGGCATGACATAGTCAATTGAATTACTGGTTGGCTAAAAGTGAGTGTTCAAAAAGCTGAGATGATGGCGTGATTCTGATGGACTTTGCAGTCGAATCCAAACAATGTCCTATCCATTGTACTTGTTCGTCAAGGTCATAGCCGAGTTCATAAGAACGCGGTTGGAATTTAATGCAAAAGATTTCCAAGCTCTATACTCTCTCCAATTTTGTCCATTTCAAATTTTGGGCTCGTGAATACTTTTCATACTTCTACTCTCTTTTTGACTATATAAATATTAATTTTAATCATCTCAATTTATCTATGTTTTTTAATAATATATTTTTATATGTAATAAATGTAATTTTGCAAAGTTTTTAAAGCTGAAATTTTGAGAAGTTTAAATTTCATTTTCATTTTAACTTGGATATAAAAATTAATTTTCAATCAAATTCAGTTAAAATCTTTAAATTTTATGTTAAAATTAATTTTAAAGGATTTAAAATTGGATTTAAAATTTAAATTTAAATTTAATACAATTTTAAAAATGACTTTCTTAATTTTATTATAATTTTATGATCAATATTTTTATTAAATTTAAATTTAAATTCAAAAATCAATTATCTTATTCAAATAAAAAATTCTTAATTAGTTCTTGAAATTAATAAATGTCAAAAAATAAGATCTCATCAATCAACAATGTTTTGATTTTTGATTTTTTGATTTATTATATTTTATTGTATAATTAAAGTCACTTTGGATAATTAACATTAAGATTTAATTTTTGTTACAAAAAAATGAATATTTTCTTTGATGTTCAGATTTTATTCTTATTTTCATTTACCTTTTTTTAATCGAGTTAAAAATGTTATTTCCTGAAAAAAAACTAATCATTTTTTATATCTTTAAACGCAATAGAACTGCTTAAATTATGTATAAATTCAAATGTAGTGTTTTATTGTCTAAAATTGCTTAAAAAATTTAAATTAAAAATATATTTAGATTTTTTATGTTGAAAGTATTATAAATATATTAAATTTCTATTCAATAAATAAATATATGTATTTGATTAAAAACTGTAATATTGACAAAGTATATCAATTAAGCAGTTATAAATTTAATTTTAAGGGAGAATATTTTATCCTTAAAAAATTATATCATTGATATCTTTTAGATCGACTTGATGAAAGTAATGTAACATTTAAGATAAATTTTTTGTTGAAACAACTAGAATCATAACATATAATTATTTATGTGTTTATTCATTGATTAAAAAAATGAAAGATATGAAATGGAAATTATGTTTAAAATTACCTACCAAAAGGAGTAAAAAAAAATATGTTTACAAAACATGAACTCAAAGTATAAAAGTTTAAAATTTGAAACAACAACAAATAAAGTTAAACAATTTGAATACCTAATGTAGCTTACAAACATATAATCTTAAAAAAATAAAAATTTGGATAAATATTTTTTTTTCAAGTAATTTTTCTACAATGATCATAGACCCATTTTGAGTTTGGTAAAGTTTATGTCCAAAAAAAATTATCATGAATTTAAAAACAATTTCATTTGAAATTTTTCTTCAAATATTTTATCAAATATTTTCATAATTTTATGCAATTATAACAAATATTCAGATTTATTTCATAAGATATAATAAACCTCATTGGTGAAAAAATTTGAAAATTTAAAACTTCTAATATTTTTGTCAATAAGATTGCCAATGTGCTCATTTAAAATGTAATTTTATGATTATACATAAATTTTTAAATGTATAGACCAGCTTGTGTTGATCCATGAAATTGAAGCAGATTTTTATGTCGAATTCAAAGAACCACGACCAGGTGGTCAACGTAATAATAATGACATTTGGCGATACCCCAGTGATTGCTTACCCAGATCATCATAGATTATTAATGCGTGCATTCCATTATCTCTAAAATATTCTCCCATAGCACATCAAATTTATATCAAATTTAAGTGTTACGCATATATTAATTTTTATTTAAAATTAATTAACAATATTAACATGTATTCACCTGATTCATATCTTTAATTTTTTTTCAAAATTTATATATTATAGCACAAAGATAATGAATATTTCTCAAATAATAATTTTAATTTTATTACTAGATAATAATATAAGTTAAAAAATAAATTCCAAATTTTTATTTAAAAAATGATTTTATTTTTTTTAAAGTTATTTTTAAATCCATATACTAATAAATTTAAATCACATCTTATATAATTATATTAAACCCAACTAAGTGTAGTCATATATTAATAAAAATTTGAAAATTTGAAAATATTATGAATGTTACAAATGAAAACAATTTTAGCATGAACATGAAATTATGTGATGATCAAGTTTTTGCAAATAATTTCAAACAAAAACTTTATAGTTTTAAAAAAATATCAATTTCAAACCACAATGCGATAGAGTCAGATGAAAAATAAAAATCTTGGATTATTATCTTGAGTAAAATAATAAAAATATAAATTGAAAGACAATAGATTTTGCACACAGGATTTAATTTTGATCAATTTAAATCAATCAACCCATAAAAATAATAAGCATTGACTATTAAAATTAGTCAAATTTTTGGAAGAAAAAATCTCATGTATTGATTATCAATCCTAGTTTATTTTAGTTTTTAAATATAATTACTTACAATTGAGGTTTTTTTATTTTATAAGATTATATGATTTAAACAAAGCTCAAACACTGAAACTCTATCTAATAATAACATTATTTGCATCTTTGGAATGTAACTTGCTTCTTTAGAAATTGTGAATGCAACTTTAGAAGTTGAATTTTACACTCAAATTTAAATTTGAATATAATTATAACAAATTACTATTGATGATGAAAAAATCTTACATGTAATTTTATATACATTCTATATAACAAATTAAAAGATTCATTTTAAATATGAAGAACCAAAAGTAAGAGTCAAATCTATATGTCATGTAATCACTTTTGCTAAAATAAAAATAAAATCAAGGTTATTTTGCATTTTGTATGTAATATGAGATCAATAGAGCTTGTATATATTTCGTTCTGGAAATTTAAGATCTGTAAAAATATAGATAGAAGAATTAAATATTAAATAAATAATAAAATAAAATATTAATGAATATTTTCATACAATTATGTTTAATTAAAATACAAAATAAATAAAAAATAATAATTAATGAAAAAAATTTAATCAAGAATCTATGAAAATATTAATTAATAAAAATTAATCTTTAATCAATTGAAAAAATTTAATTTATAAAAATTAATCTTTAATAAATTCAAAATATTTAATTAATAAAAATTAATATATAATATATTCAACATATTCAATTACTAAAAATTAATACATAATATATTTAAAAATTAATTAATAGATATTTTTTAAATTTAAAAAAAACTTAATTAAAAATTAATTAAAATTACTCATAACCTTTAAAAACTTGAATTAATAAAAATTAATAATAATATCAAAATAATTAATTAAAAATTTAATAAATTTTATTAAAAAAATTAATTAAAAAATAAAAAATTATCTATAAAAATTAATGAAAATAAATTAATAAACTTTTAAAAATAAGAAATTTGTAAAATCTAAGTAATTAATTTTGTAAAATTAATTAATATCTGATAAAAATAATGAATCAGTAAAAATTAATTAATATTCTATTAAAAAATAAATTTGTTAATAAATTTGTATTCATTTTAATTTAATAAATTAATAATATCATTTTTTAAAAAAATATTTCAATCTAGCTGAAAGTCAATTTACACTTCATTATGCAGTTCTAGATTGTCACATTATTAAATATTCGTAATCACAATCATATCTGCAAAAGTCTATAGCCATAAACGGTTGCTATCTTGCAATCAAATTGATAGGCCAAAATATTAAATAAAAAAAATGTGACAAGGCAATGAAGATTTATTAACAAGTTTAGACCTTCGTCTAGTTTTGAGTAGCATGATACTATGACTATCGAGGAGAGACAACTTCTACGCCATGCACGAACGATGACGAGGATAAAGCGGAAAGAGAATATTGGATGGATAGCACGGGGACCCACTTGCGTGAAGCACTTCGTTTCCTCGCCTTTCGTTTGGTTCGATTTTCTGCAGGTGACAAGTCACGAATTTGTGGAGTGTCTCTCGCTCCATCGACGTCGAACACCGCAGTGAGCTTCGACAGGAAGCTACGCTCGTCGAGTCCAGCTGCGGGCTTTGAGCTGGTTGAGAGGGTTGCGGACGAGACTCTGGAAGGTGCGGGAGTGGATTGTGAAATGCCAGTCAGGTGCTAGAATTCTGTTCCTGGTGTCGAGAGTCGGCTCGATCGGGCTGCTGCACGCATGGCGTTGTCCTCTTTTTTCCCGCTGAAGTTACCGCAGCTTGCTCCTTCTCGACGTCGTTTCGTTGTTGTCAAATGTGCTGCCGATTCTCCCGCGGCCCCTCCCTCTCCTGCCAAGCTCGTCACCTTTGTTGGCAAGGGCGGAGTCGGCAAGACTACCTGTGCTGTGCTGGCCGCTCAGGTACCTTCCAGTTCCCTGTGAATTCCCAGCTTGCCGAGCTTTTAGTCAGCTGATTCGTTCCCCTGTCCATTGTGCTCCTCATGCTTTGAATTTTGCGCACAATTCTGAACATTCACAGCTCAACATGCCTCAAAATACCTCTGTGACAATGACACCCTCAATGAACAAATTTAGAAATCAATTTTTATTTTCACAATTTCTACTTGTTTTAGATTCTGTTTGTGGGCCGATACTGAATTTGAATTGAGAACTGTATGGAGGTGAATTATGCTTGGCAAACATAGCATCTACTCGTTTTGCTCAACAACGCTAGGGGCTAAGATTCTATAGTGCTCTTCAGATCTTATAAAGTTCACTTGGCGATTAGCGAATTTTTAGTTGTGAAGCTTTGCTGGATGAAAGAGGAGTACTATCCTTGATAGTATGCTGCCCGTGTACGCTCCTAAAGTTCTTGTGACGAAAATCAGTGGATTTTGGACTGTGAAGCTATTTGCATCTAAAGCATTGCGCGCAATATCGTCTTGAATTATCCTCACAGAATATGATAGTATGCGCAGATAAGCAGGGAGGGTGCGGTGCGGAGCGTAATAAATCCTGTCGTTGCTGAATGTGCAGTACTATGCCAGCCTGGGCTTGCGTACATGTCTAGCAGTTCAGTCACAGGATCCAACTGCTGATTTCTTGTTGGGTGAGAAGCTTGGTACTTATGCTGCTCCCTTGAAAAATGGCTACCTTTCAGCATTCCGAGTCGAATCCACGAAGGTAATAATTAAGTGGAACTTCATTCACGGAACAATGGCATCAGAGTGTACCTTATTTGTGGGATTTTAAGTTGACTGCCAAATGTATTAGGAAAATTCGTAGCTGGCTGTGAAGGCTTTATCAATTTTTAGAAACTTTCCAAGAAGGATAGTCGGTTTTTCCAACAACCTGGGAGCTAGAAGCCCACATTCTGGTTAGAAATTGCTGTTGGTGTTGCACTATTTAATCATCTATCAACTTGTCCATTGCTCAGTTCAAAGATACGTAGTACAATTGTGAATAACTAACTTGGTATCTCTACCGTGCTCAGCTACTCGTGGAGCCATGGTCCCAGCTTAAGAAAGCAGATGCGCAACTGAAGTTTAGCCAAGGAGCTCTTGATGAGGTGATGAACTTCACCAAGAAAATCATCATCATCAGCTTGTTGTAATGACTTAGTAGTAGATGCAGTAGTACTCGTAGGCACCTCAGTGTCTGTACGCGTCTTCCTACGTTGTCTGATTGTTCTGCTTTCATTTCCCAGTTCAAAAGCACGTTCCGTCCTATTTTAGTGTACTCTCTGTTTTAGTTTCGAAGTATTTACTTCGTCAGAAAGTCATCATTGAAGCTTTTGATATCCAACTCGTAACCGTGTCCGACAAAATCTAGTTCCTTCGTCTTCAATGTTAAAGACACTTCTCTCTTTAGCTTCCAGCAGCTTTTGCCTTTTAGTGTTAAAGTGCATAGGAGGAGTAACTGCACTGTAGCCTCTATATATGTCGTTTATCGTAAGGATCTATGATGCAAGTTGTTAGATTCAACTTATCTTAGTTGCAAGACCTGAGAAAAACAAAAGCCACTCTAGGAAGTTACCACACTGCAGGACGAGGAAGCACTTGAGATGTGATTTATTTGTGTTTTGGACAAGTTTCTTGCTCTGCTCTAGGAACTGCCTTGAGGATTTTGGAAATTTAGATTGTGTATATGCAGATGTGCGCAATGCTTGTGGTTCAATTTCCTCTTCAGCTGACGACCTCGAACATTCTAACGTCATGCAGGTAGTTAGCGAAGAACTGAGTATCCTCCCAGGCATGGACTCTTTCTTGGCAATTGGTTTGTTGGACAGCTTATCAAACTTCACAGGAAATTCTATTAAACTGAGACCTAAAAGCACAGAACAATATGACGTAGTAGTGTACGATGGACCCAGTAGCGAGGAGATTTTGCGAATCATTGGCGCGCCCGAAAGGGCCAGGTAATATCTTAAATACTCTTAAGACTTACAGGTTCTGACCCTTCACTGTTTGCATCATCTTAGTTCTTTCGATCTGAAAGTTTCTGCATAGAGCGCATGCACAAAGATTTTGGAGAAAGAGCTCCTACGCACCCGGCTGAGGTTTTGGGCTTAGAGTCATATGCTCTCGACCTTTGGTTGTTTACGCGAGTAGGAGTTTGCAATTTCTACTTTCGTGAACAACCCGCTGAGGTTGTCTGTTGAACTTTCAAGATGTCATCTTTGTTGATGTTGTTGTATATCTCTTTTGTAGCAGCCATACTGTTCCCAATAATAATTGCATCTGTATCACTCGGTGTATTGAGTATTGTAGATTCTTAACCTCAAAGACCAAGGTACTGTTTTGTGGAGGTATCTCGTACTGTTAGAGACAGGTTTTTCAACCATTATTTTGTCCAGACCATTATTTTGGTGAAGTCTTTATGTCACGCTTCAACTAAATTGAACCTCATGTAGCAGATGGTACTTGAGACGGCTACGGAGTCTCGCTGATAAAACTGATACTGGAAGAGTGACAATACCATCAATTATGAAAGCAGTAGAGGCCTCCATCTTAGAGGGACCGAGCGACCGATCGACTGCTGAACTCTGGAATGTTGTCGACTCCATTTTTTCTGTGGGTTTCACTTAACTGCCGCGGGTCAAAACTCAGAGGAGCGTATTTGCACTCAACTTTTTAGCGAGTCAGAAAATAGGCTTGTCCCACTGCAATGTGAGCAAGTGAAGGCATGTCTTTTCTCCTTGGGTCTTAGTCTTCTGCAGTCGTGTGCGTCTTCTGATGTTGATAACGTGGTTTTTGCAGAAAATCATAGACACATTTGCGGATCCTAAAAGATTCGGATGCTATATCGTGACAGACTTTCGCAGCCAACTTGCCAGCGAGACAGCTCTTCGATACTGGGGTTGTGCCGTCCAGGCTGGAGTATATGTCAGTGGTGCCCTGCATGTAGGTTCACCAGAGAACTCAGACCTTTTGAGTGACTCTGTTCGAGAGAAATATGATCCACTAGCACTAGGTGAGGTTCCTTTATTGTCGTTTAGGGCACCACCAGACTGGAAGAAGGTTCTGAGTGAGTTTCAAGCGGGAGACTTGTTAGAAAGCAAGCAAAAAACTGCTGCGCCTCCAGGCGTGGTGTTTGACAAGTCCGCGCGTACCGTGACTTTATTCTTACCTGGTTTCGCAAAATCGGAAATCAAGCTATCGCAGGTCAGTATACTTTCTTCCTTCCATCATAATGACGTCCCGTCCACGTTTTGCTTGTTTCTGATCGGAGCCTCCATGATATTTCTACGATGCATTTACCGTTAGTCAATCGCCAGAACTGTCAGCATGCTTGTCATAGAGAAGGTTGGAACTTTGTTGACTTTGATTTATATCTTATGAACTTAAGGTACAGATTTAGTTTTTGATTCTTGATAAGTGAACTCGTGGTGTGCTTGCGAAAACGTCCAGTTCTAGCTGTCAACAGTGGAGCTTCGTTTTGACTGGTATGTTGTGTGCAGTGGAGGGGAGGTACGGAGTTGCTCGTCGAGGTAGGAGATCAGCGGCGTAGTATTCTTCTGCCTCCTGATTTGAGGGGAAAGGTGGCTGGAGCCAAATTTCTCAACAAGAGTTTGGTTGTCAGCATTAAGAGTTCCTAAAGTGTTGTTCAAGCATACACCGTCACAAATTTATAAAGCTTTTCATTGAAAGCAGGGAAAACCAGTTCCTTCAATTTCGCCCATATTGTAGTCTAAACTGTCCGTGCCTTCCTCTGAATCTTTTACAAGCGTTAAATGCATTTATTTCTGCGCTGTATCGTATATATGTATTCGAAATTCGTCATCTACCCATAGTCCATGTGTGTACTGTAGCTTTTCAAAATCCTTTTTGCTAGAAGTATTCAGACACCATTAATAGCAATATTGGAATATACTTTCTTTAAATCGTGTGGTGGGTTATTATCTTCACATATCTTTACACCTAGAAAACCTTTTCTGTAATGATGTCACTTGTAGTATTGGTAGTTAACCTATGAAGTGCGTCACTGTTGTATTTCGAATTGTAGTTTTGGCCTATTGTAACCGTAATCAAAATATATCAACGAGATATAAGTCTTATTATAAAGTAATGCATATTCATTAATCAAACTAGGGTATCTAGTATGACAAAAAAGTGACCTGTGTGTTCCAAGTATGATATGCTCTCAACCTAGAAGCTCGAAGGAACAAAGAGATCCCCTAGAACTTGGCAGAACAAAAGAGTTGGAGGTGCAACTTTTGCATAAGAAGCTCATTGGGTGTCAGAGAAGTCGAAAGCTGCTAAGGAGTATCGTATGGAAAAGGTAGACGCAATCAGCTAATCTCAGCTCAAAATTCACAAAGTGATTCTTTGTATAACTTCACACCGTGCACCGTCCTTTCCAAAATTCTTGTATTAGTTTCAGAACGATGTTCGATTCTTCTATGTCACAACGATGACATAGTTGTAAGGTGAGCATGTTATGACGTCTTGTACTTCACTTCCAATAGCTTATGTGGAGCTCCATAGCATACAACTATTTGGTCTTTTTCTATGGTACATGAGTCTCCTCAAGTATGCACATCAAATCAAGCTTGAGTAACCTTGCTCACTGCTATTAGATGTTTGAAAAAAATAGACACATATCTGACTCAGGTATCATAGTGTGATATTTGTCCCCGTTCAATGTCCCCACACAGTGCAAAGAAATACTTCTTTGTCCGAAATTTTGAGATTCTGCTTCATTTTAAATGTATACGTACTTCAACATCTTCTTCGTGGTGAATTTCATGACTCATTTGAGAATTGCATGTGAAATCTAGATCCATCGAAAATATTTCACCCTTTCTCATTTCTCGGCTACCATGCAACTGTAATCAGTGTCATATCTAAAGATTTATCTGCCAAGACTGCAGTCTCTTTCTACTTCCCATCATTCACATGATCTTTAGGATTTCCTTTCTGCTCAAGCCTGAAAGAATTAAAGCCTAATCATTTCTTGTTCTTCCACTTTGAGCACTGAAAACTCAGATGAACTTTTTTCCACCACATTTGTAGCAATTTTCAGTTTCTTTGCTCTTTGTTGATACAGTTTCTCTATGCGCTCTAAACTTGAGCAGCAGCCATAGTTGCTTCCTTATATCCCCTCTCAAACCTTGTATTAAATGTATGTACCTTAATGTATTTATAATTCGACGTTACTTGCTCTCCAAGAAGAGCGTTAAGGAAAAGAAAAAGAGACTCAAACTTCTCAGAAAAACTACTGAGGGGATGCGCATCCTTAAATTGACGGTGAATGGTAATGCCTGATGCACAAACCTTGAGATACAGAGATTCAACTTGGTCATATGTGCAATCACAATGCCAACATCTTACCAACATCCATTAACTTGGCCCAAATATCCCAAGCGTAAGAGATTCTTGCTATCAAGCACTTGTCGATCTAGATCCAAAGTCCTTAACAGCCTCTTGATCATCATGTATTGTAAAGTGAACGTTTCATCTTCAAACACACTCGTTGATGTTTGCAGGGTTTTGACAGAACTTCCAATAGCCATAAAATTTCAAATTCCCTTCAATCTCAAGTGGCCATTCAGAGTATTAAGCTTCATCTAGCTATCAACCTCACCAGCCCAGTGAGGATCCATAACCTTTTAATACTCAAAAGAATCTGTAAACCATAAACCTTTTCTTGTCTAATAAAGAAGCATTTGTGATTGAAGTAATGAAAACGAAGATATCAAAAAGCCGTCCCCGAGATTCTGACGGATTTCAAGGCTCGAATCTGATCCTGAAGACTTTCTCTCACGCAGCATTTGGGGCAGAAGATTTTAGTCGGTGATAAGAATTTTCTGGACTTGTTGTCTCATCTTCTCTAACGTTTTGTTTGCAGAAAGTTGGGGGATCCATCCCAACGGATCATTGTGCCTTGTCAGTGGATGATCCAAGGCTCTTTATCTTATTACACTTCCAGATGGAGCTCACATTGGGTGAACATCGCGCGCTATATTCCTGTTTTCTACCATCTGACATCATGTTTGTGAAAAACTGTTGGGTCCATCTCAACAGAGATCAATGTGCCTTGTTGTGGATAGTCCGGACCGATTTGTTGTATGAAAGGAGAGAAAGTATAATGAGTTAAGGTAAGGATCCGTTCTCCAAATATTGTAGTGTTATATTTGCCTAGCGGTGGAGAATCTTACTCCAATTAATAAAAAATATTGCAATTGTTAATTTGAGCACTATGGACAGTTTTACATAGAGATTATAAGAAACTTTGTAATTTGTAGTGTATCAGTGCTTCTTATCGGGGTTCGATCTTTAATGTTCGATCTATTTCTTTTATTTCCTTTTCTTCAATTAGTTCAAAAAAACAGAGATTGGAATAGAAAGTTATGACTCATTCCTTTTTACAGTACTGTTGATTAGCATTTTTATATATGAAACGGATTATTTATGAGCGCAATGTGTAGTGGATTGAACCACATTGAACGAGAAATTTGTATATATCACACAAATGAGTTATAATGTCAAAGCACATAATACTTATGATTGGTTCCAATGACATAATCTAAGAGCTAACTCAAACTAAGTATAGCAAGACTCATGTTGCTCTTCATCGTTTGTATATGGTTTTTTGTATCTTGTAAGCTTGCCAATATAGGTCTGAATGAGTAAAAATGACGGATTTAAATTATTATTCCTTATTTTTAGCTAGAATTGCAGACTCGACCTAAAGAATGTATTTTATGCAAATTCAGGATTGCATTTGACAAGTATGTATCGCACATAAAATATATCATTCTACTCAAAGATTTATGCGAGACATGTTGCATATTTATCTGTAATATTGATTATCAATCTACTTACCGTGTTCGTATATTATCACAGTTGATAAGCTTTGATATGACAATCATAGATTATTTTGCAAACTTAGTTAAAAATTAGTTCTTCAGTTGTATGTGACAGGAAAAGTCAACACACACATCTATACTTTTCAAATTTATGTGAATTAAAATTAAATATGATTGATAAAGGAAGCAAGAGTCATAGCTTTTTTTATATTTTCATACATTTCCATCACACGTGTTATATTTGATCGTATATCAAATTTGAATGTAAGATAGAGATGTTTTTTTCCTCGTTTTTATAGTGAAACAGTTCTTTGAATTTAGAAGGTGATACGATGATTTGTTTCTGAAGTAACGATATTGAAATGTATTAAGTGCTATTATTGTAAATGACAATAATGACCCTCACAAAATGTTGACTCAAATTTAAAATTTATCACCATTGAAACTATGTAACTTAATTTTAGAGTATAAAATTATCATTTTTAAACAAAAAATCAATTATCAAATCTATGACATATTCTATAAATGATTATTCATCTTCATTGATTGTAATAATTTTCGATTATATCGCAAAAGTATATTTTTTCACCTAGTCTTGAAACTAGAAACTTTTCAAAAAATATTCTAACATGATCATGAAATTCTTCTTTATGAACATTAATTTTCACAATCTTTACATTTATATACGTTAGAAGACAACTCATTTTGTTTTTTAAAAAAAGATTGATAACTAATGATATCAATAAATTATCAATTATGTTAAATGTATGTTTTCTATATGCTCATGTCTTAGGTATAATTAGACTTATGATTTTAAATATGATATTATATATTATAACATGACATATTTTACTTCATGATAAGGCTGTAATCATTACAGCCTTCTCATTATCAATCACATTACAGTTTATATGTTATGTTACAGTTCAATGTGAATAAGATAAGAATATGATAAGAATCTTTCAAATACAGATGATTGATGAAGTATACATGTTACATTAACGGTTGCCCTCATACTCATGTTTTAATACACTTTCATATGCAGCTGTCATTGCACAAACATGGCCAGTTGATCAAAATTCCTTGCTTATGTGGATCTCCTTATTTCCGGTTACCTTTATTTTACTCATCCACAAATCTCTGAATCTTCAACTTCACTATCAACCCCTTGCTCGACTTAAGGAAAAAACAACCGCCTAAATAAACACAATACAGAGCTTAAACCACAAATGTGGCCTAAAATTGTCAGAAATCTGGAGCAGCCGACTGCATTATTGGGTGTATTCCTAACGGACGGCGATCTGCGTTGACAGCATCGATGGCATTGATTCTAGAATCGACATTCGGCACAAAGAGCGTGGAGACTGTGCATCTGTTTTTGGCAATGATTGTGATTGTCCTACCAAGGCGCCGGGGATGGGAGGAAGGGAGTGAGGGAGGGCGACACTGGAGTTGAGTACTTCTGAGAGCTTGTGGTGAGCCCATGTGAGAATCTTCGGAGGATAGGCACGTACGAGCTATCGCCTCGTACAAGTAATCATTGATGCATGCCTGACACGGGTCGATTCGATAAAAAAACTACAAAAACCAGCTCAAGAGAGAAGAGGGCGTTCGAAGAACCGGGAGCTGCAGCTCCTACTCCAGCTAAATCGGCCGACATTCCAATCCACGAAGTTGCCTGTACGTACAAAATCACTCCATTTCCGACTATTTCACCCCTTCCGCAATCTCTGTTCAATTGCTTCCGATCCTCTCTCTCTCTTCTTGCTGTCCCGAAAATTTGTTATTGCTGGCGATGATTCTCTCGTACTTTTGCCTCGTCGCTTGTTGTGGTGATGAAGCCAGACGTGAACCGATTCCCACTAGAGCGAAATGGCTTCTCCAATTCTCAAGGTCTCAGCGAGTTCATGCATTTTTCGTAGATGGAACTAGATTGTCACCGATTGAGATTGAAGAGGACGAGTTGTGTTTTGTCTAATTATTTGAAGGTCAACTCAGTGGAAAATTGTAAATACCGAAAACACTTGCAAGGCGTTACGGACATGGTCGGATCTGGTCAGTGGGGAGGAGACACATGGAAAACAGAGTGATCAGACGGGCGGGACCATAGGGCGTGATTCTGCACAGGTGGAGAGGTGGGTAGATCAGGCAAGCGAAGAGGAGAATTTTGGGATCGGCCTTTTCACCAGGATTATGGATCAGAACCGAGCGATTGCTGGGACCGACGATTGTGAAGGTGCCGCTACTCATGGTTCGCTATGCCGTAGCAGGTTTCAAGCGGCCGGAGTTTCCAAGGAGGACTTGCTGAGCTCCAGATCATGCCTGCAGAGCAGTCTGCAAGCTCTGGTGTCGTGTTTGCTGGACTTCGCTCTGCCGCAGGAGACCAGTGCGGCGCCATACGATTGTCACTCCATGCGACGGCGAAGCAGAGATTCTTTCACATTCTTCGAAATGCCTCCGCACAAATGCGGCAGCATCAAAATGAATCTAATGAATTGACATCTGCAGAAGCTCTTCGAGCCCTCAAATCGCGCGCTATCCACGAGTCCCCGATTCCTTCACTGTCTTCAACTCCGTAGTTCTGCTACTGATAGGTACAACTTTGACCCCCATAGCTCAATACAAGATCCCGATGTCAGGTTATACACCCAGTTCCTCATAGAATGTCAATCAGATCGTCCCTGCTTAGAAATCACCCACCTGAGCACCCGTCGTCAGTAACAGATGCGAGAATTGGCTGTTGAATGGATCGTATGCACCGTACAGCTCTCGAAGGTTCTTGTGTGTTCACATATATCTTCTAATCAGTCCCCTACTTGACTATGCTTTAAAGAAGTTTTAATTACAAGTAACAAATTTCCCGACTGAAATTTTCCAGCATTTGCCATAGGACTTGTTCTTATATCGACATGGACTAATTGTGGAGGCCAAGCATCTCATTAGAACGCATTCATCTGGACTGTGATCAGTTCACGTTCCACATAGCACCGTGCCCGGCTCGATGAGCAGCTGAGGTCAGATATTTGTGCAATATTGTACTGGGACGAAAGACTGGCGTGTCCGTTACAGTGGCAAGTTGAAAATCCGCCTATTCTGTACTACAAGCAAGTGGACTGCACTCAATCCATCCATGTAAGTCGGTAAGTATTAGCTGCACGATAAGCTTCCAGCATTTGCTGTACAAATCTGGAGGCCCCAACGAGTCTTAGACTAAGGACACAGATGCATGAAATCACACTGGAGTGCGAACTAGAGATGGCGACGTGCAAATTCTCACGAAATTCACGAACCGATGAAACACATCGATGAACAACAAATCTCTCGTCACCGTCGAGATTCGATGTTGAGCACCTGGTCGGTGCTTATGGCTCACTGATTCCAGGTTTTAGACTAGTCATATCAGCCATTTGTTGTGGTTCATAGCTTTAAGATGCAGTACAAGTTCAAGTTCAAGCATTGCACAAAAACCACCTCAAATTCAATCCCTCCTCCAGCTCTCGGCGCAGCTTGCATTGCCGACTTCGACAGAAGTGTGGCCTATCTAATAAACGGCACCGGTGCAAGAAGTGAGTTTGAAGTCCAAATCTGCACGACAGGAAGTTTTCACACGAAATAGACTTTCGTATCGTAAGCGTATCACATGGATTACCACGACTCGGGGCTTCACATCAAAAAGAGAATACGAAACCAACCACAGCTACATCTTCCACCAAGCGATGTAAAACAACATTCAGCCCGACTGACCACGAGATTTGCTCCATTAACAAAATCATCCGTGAAGCTCCTGTCTTGTCTTGAGGAAGCAAGCAAGCGTAGATGCTTACGCATGGAACTGGCTGAGCGATCTCGTGTGGTGGTGTACGGGAGGGTACGAAAGGCGGACGAGATTCAGATCGATCATACGAAACGAAACGAAACCAAATCCAAATCCTCGCGAATAGTGATGTCCTCCTGTCCGAGCCAGTCTGATCGATGATGGAGACGTTGACAATCGAGTCCTGAGCTGCAAGGAGCACCTTTCGGTATTTCTATAGTAACGGATAAAGCCGTAACTGCTGCTGCAGGTCAGGGTCAGTGCACTCTGCACTCTGCACTGGATTTACCGATCATTTCAAGGCTCCAGAGCAGGGGAAATCATAATCTGGGTTGTACGAAGGTGATCATTACAAGTTTGTTCGAAGTTTGTTTGACCGAGCAGAGGCCGAGTTTCCAGAAAAAGCATTATCATCCAAGCTTCACGTACAGAACCAAAGCGTGAACGGACGTCTGGTCGAGCGAAAATCTGGATTTCCACGGCCATTCCAGGTTGTGAGGAGGATGTGGATGCTGTAACCGATGCTGCATAGCTGCTTCTGAAGATCCGCAAGGGACGTATCCTGAGTGCTGAATAACTCCTTGCAGTTCGAGTGACGAGTGTTGCACTGCACTTCGCGCTGCATTCACGGCGACGAGGCAGATGAGCACGTGGCTTCGCTTGAGGGTATCACAGAGTTTCAATACCTTTCGGTTTCCCTTTAGGGATCATGATCACGACTGTTGCTCAGAAATTGGGATCTTTTGTTCCCTTCTTCTGTAACTCACGACTGCATCCGATCTAGAAATACCCTTGCTGGGATATTCGAGACTCTCCGACAGATGACATTCCGAGTGTGAATATATGCTCATTACGTTCAACTCATCTCCATCTTTAATTCTTGTAAATCTCGCTTGTTTCTCTCCGTAAGCCGGGATAACGGAATCGTACTATATGAGATCACACCTCAGAATATACAGAAGAATTGTGCAACACCTCATGGAGTTGATTTGTGCCATTTCCATCCGTCCGTTCTGTAACAATGTTTAAATTTATTTTATTTTATTTTGGAATCGATACAGATCCTGGATATACCTTCCGTCCACGATTATGGAGTCGACGGTGCGGGTGGGGTATTCCGAGTAGTCAGTCAGCCACGTCCTCGATGTTGGCACCCGATCAGGACAAAAATCCATGAATAACAGAATGTTGCTGAAACCTTCCAAAGACAGCAGATGTTGCTCTTCAGTTTGAGTTAGATTGTAGTCCATATTTTTACTCAGTGTTTGAGAAGATGGACTTTTCGGATGCTAGATTAGGCAAGGGTCATGTTCACCAATTCTTCAACTTCATCACCAACAATCGAACTGAGCATTTTGTTCTTAGAGGCTTCAGGCGAGTCGCCATTTCGGACGTATTCACTCAATTCCTTGATACAGCAGATACTACGTAGTAATGATTGCAAAATTCCTTGCTGACTAAAAGCCAAATGTTGCTAATGGTTGTAAATGACAATAAATATCACAAGACGACGGAAAGTACGTACGTCAAGCATCTGATAGTCAAGCATCTGAATTGGCTCACACTAAATTATGAAGCTCAGCGTTAAGTAGAGAAATTCCGAATGTACGTGAAGTTCATGTGGGTGCAGTTCTTCAAATGTTCAGGGTTCTCGTTTTTACTAATAAGTATACGTGAAGTACAGTAAAAGAGTTTTCGTACCTTATCTAGGTGTGTGAAGTGCTTTAGCTTAATCACAGTCATATGATAGCATTTCTATTCAGAAACGTAAATTGTAAGTTGGTAATTAGAACTATTAAAATTAAGTACAAATTTAATGTAAGTAACTGGTTTTGTTGGGCTAAAGTTTATAAGTCACCGTTGTTTAGTGTGTCCAGTTTGGAAGTTGAAACTAAAAACTGTTTATTGCTTTCAAGTAACGAAAGGTATAATGTTAAAAGTTGCTGTTCCTAGTCATCATTCTTTGAGATATTGACTAGAACTCTCAATGCCAATTTTTTCGTAGAATTGAAAGACATTTTAACTTCTTTCGCATTGTTTTGATTTCAATTTCTGAGTAAAGCTAGATACAAACTTCTCAATTAAGAATTGTTGTTCAAAGTCCACTGGATTACAGAATAGAACGATAGATTGCAATAGCAATTTCCAGAAATTGTTGAGACATCATCCCTAACCATCCACTGATGTTCAAAAGTGCATCAATGAAAAACTTTCGGTTGGCTTGCCATTACTTTCTCTCGCGGATTAGCAACTGGTATTGTTCCGGGCTCCACTCCAGTGTAGGTCTATATACAGATATCTTTCTCCTTCAGGTAATAATAGCTGAGCGTGGACTTCACCTTTAACCGGCATCAAGTTATGCCTGCTCGTAGAAACATGTGCTCGTCCAGGAGAGTGAGGTCGAAGAACAGTTGAAAAGCTTACCAGAACATGCACAGGTACATATCAATCTATTCTACCAGTTTTACTAAAACTTACAGGTTTCATTCTCTCACTTGCTGGGATACTTTTACTCCGAAACTGCCAAAACTTGACCACTCAAACCACCACTGTGATTCTTTGTTGATTACTTCGTTGACTCCGAACGATCGAGTCAAGAATTTGAACACCTACAAACAAGTCCAGTTCATATATTGACGATCATTAATTTGAACTCCAGAACGTGCTCCTCAAATAACATTTGTACAGTAGTATCATAGCTATAGTTCTTCGCTGGAAAACTCATCGCGTCCATATCCATGCGCAATTTTATTTTATTTTCTGGCAAAATGGCTCGAACGAGTGACTGTCATCCCTTTTATATCCTCGGTCCTCGCTGCATTCCTCGGACGTTCCAAATTCGAGTTTTCCAACCTTGAAACCTCGTGCCGTCTCGCGTGTGTAAGGCGTTGGCCGAAAAGGCGACAGAAGAGAATTTCGGCGTAATCTCACGAGTATTGTCGATTAAGAGTACGAAAACAAAAACAGTATTATCAAGAAAACAAAAATATCACGATAAATCTAACGAAAAAATTATGTTAGTGCAAATTTCAAGATGATATATGAAAATATACGAGAAATCGGATTGATACGCAAAGAAAAGGCGATCACATAATGGGAGAACCCAAAACCATCTTCAAACACCTCAAGTGTCATGGACAAGCACCGAACATACGTATGCAATCCTGTATACGCTACAAAATTTCAGGGGTAACTAGCCTCGAGTTGTAATTCCACGATGCGTGTGGTGTCTGTTGACGTTCAAGACTCTGGATCGTTTTCAATCATAACATCTCCTTGTCTGTCTCATGTGTCTGACTACTAGACAGACTTTCTTCCCCTCTGAGACGTTGGTCATCAGCGCTACATCTGACAGTTCTGAGGAGTTGTAGTATGATGCTGAGAAGACCGGCTTGAAAACTTCGTGAACGTGGATGTTCAGCGTAATCAATTTGATAACTCCGACGAGCACGCGCTTTTTTTTTTATCTACTGAAATCCCCAAATGAGTGACCAATATCTACACTTGACTTACATTATTACAGTTCTAGCTACAGCTTGATCCCAGTGTGAATAAATTGGGAACCTTGGGCTAGGAAGAACTTAGATAACAATCGCAAAGGTATGATTGGCCTAAAGCTACTAGCTCTGTTGAAATTCAAATTGGCCAAGTGTCCACGATCATAATAATAACTATGCCACTTTCACTGAAGCTTTTTGAAAATCTCAAGGGACATAGCTTTGACCTAAGATCATTTCGTTATATATACGCAAATAGTGGCATATATATTATTATGATCGTGGACACTTGGCCATTGCGTCCAAAAGCCTATCAGCTTACAAGTTGTCCAAGATTCCGATTCATTTACTGTTTCCATTTCTTCCGACTGCAGTCGCATGGTCTAAGTACGCCATAACTACGACGGTCAGCACTAAGGAGGTTCAAAAGGAGGCAGTATAAACAGACAATGGAGTGCTTGCTCGACTAGACCAGTCCCAATTGAGGAAGGCTCGTTAGAGATGACAGCCTTGAGTTGAAGCTTTACATACTGATATGGTTGCGCTAAAAGCTTAAACTTCTGAGCTTCCAATTTAAAGCCAAGTCGAAGTCAACTGTTGTTTGTCTCTGTAGCCCAGGTCCCTGGTGCAACTGCACTAGTGCACTTAAAGCTTCGTCAGCTGCAAACGCATCCAAGAATATTCGTATGATTTTGAAACCTTAGTTCTTCTCACGTTAACCTCAAGCATTAGATAGTCATGTTGAAAGTACACGTGGCACAGGATTAGCTGATAGATCTTTGCTATATAAGCTATATAAACAGCTTTGCAACCTCGACCATTCCGTCGATTGTCTGAAAATAATCAGAAGAGAGCCAGCCTCCAGAGCTGATCTTACCGAGCGTATAGTGTTGGAAACTCCGATGGAGGAGAGCTCGTCATGAAGAGTGTGCACAGGAACTTCGATGAATATATCTCAACTCAAGAAATCCAGACACATCGAACGTGAAGCCGATCTCTTATACGACTTACGTCTATGAGATCAAAGGGCGGGTATAAAGCACGTGCCAGTTGCAGTATTCTCCAATAGGAAGTCATCCGTCAGTGCGTCCTTGATTATCTAGGGCCCTCGAGGCCATGCCATGCTAACTTCAGATGGAATAAAGATAACAGAACATTTAATTTAGCTCTAGATCAATTGTACCTTCTGTTAGTTCGAGCTCCATTTTCAGCCTTTTCTTAGATTCTGATGATTCCGCTCGACCTGATAGTTGGCTTTGTGGGTTGAGAAAGAGAATGACGTTCCAAGTTGCGTGCAGGGTCGGGCATATCGATCATACGAAGTTTTGGAAGACTGTCTGATCAGGTTCATATGTTGTGGAGGTGTATCAAGCTCTTGGAGAATTTCTTCTTCTCTAAGCGGAGGGTAGTCGGTGTGGATGGTGCTCAGATGGAACTTGCAGGAGGAAACAGGCTGCTTCGACTCTGCGGAGTGCTGACAGCGCAAGTTTTAGCGTTCGTTGTATACTACGAAATTTACACGATGTTTACAAGCACACACACCGTTCACCATGTTGACAGATTACATTCAAGCAGCGACATTAAATATCAGAGGAACTTGGAACCCGTGGCTTTTCAGCTTACATTGAGCACACTTCTGGACCAATCTAACTACGCAGACGATCCTGCGGTAAGATTTCTGAAATTTATTGATGACCAGCTTTAAGTTCTGAATTAAAATACTTTTCTAGATATCACAATGAAGCCAGTTTGTACATGTCCAAGGTTTGTTATCCAACTTCATTCCCATTTCTGGACAGTAACGAGGTTGACAGTCGATAATCCCATACACTACTGACACTCGAAATCCAGCGATCTAGACGTATTGTCGATCCATATTCCTCTTTGAATCCATGCAGTGCCTGACAATAGGCTTGATTCAATTCTCACTGCTGGTTTACTATGTCGTAAATGTAGACGCAGATGTGGTTCTACGATCACGTTTTCGACCATCCTCAAGCAGAATTACGAGTTCTTCAAACTTTAGAGCTCGACGGTGCGGCCCCATTACTCAGCCGCATGCGTCCTCGAGATAGAGATATTACACTGGTCACACAGGTACGAGACGATACTTGTGCAAGTGCGTATATCATTTACCCGGTGCGTTGCAAGTTCGAAATCACGTTTACAGAGATATTCTTTTTCACAATCTTATCTCAGATTAAAACAATAGAGTCAGTTTGGGGCGGTGAGAGGGACCGCTGGGACTCTTGATACTCCATTCTTGCTATGAATCTAGCTCTTAGTGGTCAAAAAATAATTTGGAGTCGTCGTGTCTTTGCAGACTTCCGCAGATCGGCTCATGGCTGTGGAAAGGACGGCCAGAACATGGACTGGAGAGATGGTGGTGGCCGTGCATGTGATGGCGAGGAACGAGACCGAGTACGTGTATAAGAAGCTTTCAGTTCTGCATTGGAGCATAGAAGCACTTGGACGTTGCCGACTGAACATCTACTTTGCGATGGAGGACGGGTTTGCAAGTCCCGAAGAGGCTGCAAAGGCGTTGTACCCGGTTCGGTCATCTGGACTTTGATTTCTGCAGTTCAATAAAAGGCCATGACTGTTGGATATTCAGCCCAAATGAGCCTCAATGGCAATACATAAACTGACCAATGTTTTTGTCCACAGGTGAACGCTATGCGCAACATAGCTCTTCGGATGGTGACGACAAAGCTCGTTTTCTTACTCGATGCGGACTTTGTGCCTAATCCAGGGTCAGTATTTGGTACCTTTTAAATGCACAACCGTCTCCTTGCTTGCAAGAATATTCCTGTGAAATCCAATCGACAGTCCAAGTAGTGTAAAATTGACTCCACACACAAAATCCATGAGATATCAGAGATTTGTGGATGTACATTTGAGATGATGTATGAACTATTCAGATGGACATATTTGGACGTGTCAGCAACTGAGCATGTACTAAATCTAGAGAGTATATTTTGTTCCACATGAGGTTAAGTTCTCAGAGTAATAGCCCAAACTCAGTTCTGTTGGAAGTTTAGTGGAATAACTGTCGCAATAAAAATATCATAAATCTGTCTGAGCTGAAAGATTTTTACTCTGCAGTAAAGTCTGGTACAATGGGTTAAGAATGCAAAAGAAATTCTCCGATGTGGGTTCTCATCGATCAATAACAAATAGCAGAATATTTGCACCGAAATTTTCTGCAGTTTGCATGAGAGTTTGACCGAAGATGAACAAACATACCAGGAGATTCTAAACAGGACCATCGAAGAGCGACAACTACTAATCACACCTGCTTTCGAGGCGGATGTTTCATCTTCGAGCAATTCACGAAGTCCAAGCTTGGAAATACCTACGACCAAGTCTGATCTCCTGAGAGGCTGGAGAAACGCGAGCATCGATTGCTTCCATTGCGCTCGTGCTCCTAACTGTCACATGTCGACTAACTTCGAAAGATATTTCGATCCTTCAACAATCAGCCCTTACGCAGTCAAATACAGGTTTGCACAAGAACAAATGTCACATCTCATTCTCGGGGTGAAAAGATGGTCCGTCTAGACCAACTTATGAACCATCATCAACATATTATAGAGCACTGCAATTCTTCTTACATACAAGAGGAATTTTTTTCCTCAATATGTTCTATCAATACCTCAAACTGCATGTTTCCTTCCTGGAAAGCTTAGCTATTCGCTTCTAAACAAGTGTTGTGTAAGCAGGGAATTCTTCGAACCATATTTCATAGCCGCAAGGGAATTCATACCGCGATTTGATGGTCGCTTCAGGTGAAAGACGGAAGGATCACAGTAGCTGAACCAGATGTATCAATGGCTGCATTGGTGTTATCATTCTTCGGCTGCTTTTGATGTAGTTAGTTCGCGGTGCAGGTTATTCTTGCTCATGAATTCTGTAGTATGCGCTAAAAGTGATCACTTCAGCTTCTGACAAATAAACGCGGTAGGAGCAAAGTAGTACGTCCTAAAGTAATCTGCTAATCTTGCATGGTTTAGCTTTCGATTTGACCAGCTTGACTGATGTTGGAAGGCCTGGTTTTGGCAGAGGCTATGGCAAGAACAAACAATCACATGCATACCACTGTGCTGCTATGGGCTTTCGATGGATGGTTTTGCCTGAGGCCTTCGTGTACGCAGTACCTCATCCACATTCTACAGCTTGGAAAGCCTATACAGGAACGGTGTGTACCATAAGTCTGTTGTTGGATGGGACCTGAAACTTTAGCTCTTACTACATTGATTATACAAAAGGGAAAAAACGATTAGTAGATTAATTGATGTAGTGATATCAATTTTGGATCAAACGATCAGTAGATCTAATACATGATTTAGAATGCATGACTGTGTTAGATTTATTACACTAATGACAGTGTAGATGTTCAATCTCAATCACTGAATTTCACCGAGACTGAGACGTCCATAATCTATCCGGTGCAGGAAAAGACATGAGGTGGTCCTCTTTACGCATGTCATATGTCAATAGTTTTACCTCCATTTGATAAGAGATTAATATTTTATCGTAGAGTTTAATGGCTTGACTTTAAAGCCACATCTGACCGCCATAGACAGATTGGAACTGCTGTAACTCAACATATTACTTCTTCTAGACATTTTATTCCTACATTGGACAGGTGGTACAATTGTATCCATCCCTTTAGGCCTCCAAAGGAGAGACATTTGATTAACAGTGACATCGTATACGTAGAGTTACACACAAAGTGGGACGGACTAAAATCAAAGTAGTATGCCTTTAGGCTGAAACTATTGTCTTTGGCTCTATTATGGAACAGGAAACGAGACAGAAGATGCAAATCCAAGGACTTTACAACCGGTTCAAAAGGGAGGTGGAGCAGAATTCGTATACTTCTCCTTCAATTCTAAGAAAAAATTAATGACATGGAAAAGTTCTTCGTTGACCAATACATCACTTAGACAGTTTTCACATCGGGTCACGCCCAGTCTGGTACATCAGTGTATAAATGATAATTCTAATCGCTGCAAATCACCAATCCTGTAATAAAAGCCTTCCCAATTCTATAGCAGTAGAAGAAACAACAGCATATTCTTAATGGACATCAATTTAAGTTTCTGAAGGCGTATAATTATCAAAGCATGCTATCTGTCTGAAACGTTAATATGATCAGCCTGAAAAGGCTGATTAGATACAATAAAGTGTTCAAATTGCATTCATAAAAATTTTATTTAGGCCTCCAATTCATGTTCACGTCTTTTGCGTCCCTATGCTGCCCTAAGGCTAAGGCCTTATGATAGGCACTTATTTAAGATGTGAAAACTAAGACGAGTCCGGACTGAAGACAGGAGCTTGTACAGTATTTGCAATAGCAAATCTGAAACCAAAGCATTTTTCAAAAGACTTTTCTTCCCAGATCTGAAAACTAAAGGCTGCTTGCCCATGTGGACAGGCATCAGGCAGCACAAACATGATATATAAAGTGGTACTAGGACCTGCCAAAAGGTTCAAGACCGATCTCATAAGGTTCTTGAAATTTCAGTAGGTAAACAGAATTGCGAAATAGATAACTGCGCTGGATTGACAGCCTTCAGAACTGTGATGGATATTAGCAGCGATCTGAAGCCATCATAAACTGTGAAGAAGGTACAGTAAGAGAGGTGGCCATTTAGCAGAGCACTATAATGAACTTAGTGCTTAAGGTTATCAACATAGCATGATCAGGTATCATCGGAAATAATGCCAAGTTTTGGTTCTACAGATTAATTTTAGAAGAGATGAATGTACCGGATGTTTCAAATCGTCAGGCCAGGGATTAAGATTTGGTATCATTTATCCGGATTCCTCTCTCTAAAACTCTTTTCTGAATAAGCAAGTGAGGTGAACTTCTCAACAGAAATGGAACGGAACCATTGACACGAACCAAGCTGGACTCAATTCACACCGAATGCAAGAATTAAAGTGAAGTTTGTTAACCACACTGGATTTGCACATAGCACGCAGAAACTCATTTTTCACACTGTTCATACATCAATTCTTTGAACAAAGGAAACTGGTGCAAAGTAATAAGAGAACTCAATATAGTAACAAAAGTTATAAAAATATATCAACAAGTACAGTCAGTATATCGGGATGAAATCAAATGGTTAACATGACACATTTCTATTAATATAACCGTATTTAAGAAATGGTAATTATCTAGTCAAACTGATATTTAAAAAAACATCAATATCGGATAAAAAAAATTTGCCGAGATTCATCTTCCATAGATAATTTGTAGAGGAGTGCAAACTTGTTGACTTACATAAGCTGTACACTAAATTGAAGAATAATACTCATGTTGGCCAATAGTTTTCGAGAGGTTTATATTATGAGTATTGCTTCATAAACATGTCAAATTTGATATGCAAAGCTTTATATAACTCCAATATTAAATGAATAAAAAGTAGATGTTTTTTTGTTGTTGATCCAGTTACTGCCTATCATAAATTGTGATTGATCACCACATTCAAAATATGATTTCATCTTTCGAATCTGATTTTGATGGTATTGATCACACCATCTGATCCATTATTAATTCCACCACCAAATGACAGATCTGCCATAATCTCTAAATAATCTATGATCAAGTGTGGAATTAGTCTAACCCTAGTCAATTGCAAAATATATGAATGTTTGAACCAACGTATTTATTTGTTTATATATTTACTTATTTATGAATCCTAATTACACTTTTTGCAATGAAGATAAATTAAAAATTCATTTGATCAATCGAAATGCAAATTGATATATCAAATCAGGATAAAATTTCATATCTCTAAAAAAAAATACTTTTCTTAGAACATTATTACATTTTTTAATAGATATCTAATACGTTTAAATATTTCGGAACAAAATCTTAGACAATACTTCATCATGTAAAACTGTAGAACACACCTAGAATTTATGAAAAAAATAAAAAAGTAGATACAAAATTTTGAATTCCATTTGAAATGAATGTTAAATGTGTGTGAGAATTATTCAATCTTGAAATAACATGTGTTATAATGATAATAATAAGTGTGTTGATTGCAACACACTTTAAACAGCGACATGTTCGGAGGAGTCTTTATAGTTAGGAGAGAAAAGACGAAGATGTTTACATTCATATAATATACATATCTTGAAATCTGGTAGAAGTCCACATCAAATACAAACTGCTTCCTTAGTTTGCGAGAGAATATACTCACTCTCCGCCTCCTGACCGTGTAATTCTTGTAGCCAGCTCCGATATTTTCTCAGCATAGAATCCTCGGGTTGCACCTCTCTCCACAATCCTTGGTAGAAAATGGCGTAAGAGTCTGTTGCATACTTGGTAACACCATGCAGCTGACTGACGTTGTTCCATTCACCTCGCAAATATTCGCTTGAGAATCTCTGGATCATTTTTGCACGTTTGTTCTGGAGACCAAGTGAATAGACTATATCGGCAATATTTTCTGTTGGAGTCTTGACAGCGGATTCAGCATCAGGGCACAAGTCAAAAAGGTCTCCGACGATCTTCTTGACGGACCTTCCTGTAGATTTGTTGAGCAACATGCTGGAAAGTATAACCTTCCATGCATCTCTGCGAAAACCTTCCTGAATCAGTCTATAAGGAGACATGGGAGGGTCCCAATTCTCGACTTTGCTGCTACTGCCCGGAAAGAGATTCCCATTTGTAGATGAGGACATGATCACATGTACCTGATCAATAAAATCGGCGAACTTCTTTCTCTTCCTCCTCCTTGAACGCTCTGCAGTGTAGTCATGTGTCGTCGGCTTGTCAACGATCATTGTATCCGCGTGGAATCTGCTCTGGTTATTTCTTCTAGGTTTGGGTCCACCTCTCCTGTAGTCTTCTTCCGTGAGTTCTTTCTTCTCCGTTGTGAAGTATTCAACTGCAGTCTTTTCGGAAGATGTCAAAGAATGAACAGACTCCGAGATAGACAACACATCATCTGCGACGGATTGGCCCTTGGCCCTGTTAATGTCTGGATCGGATGTTGCTCCAGATGCCATCTCCGGTTTGTAATGTCGATCCGTTCTTCCACCCGAGGATTTCTTGTATCTACCTTTACTGTCTCGGGCACAAAAGTTGTTAGCCTTATAATTTCGTTTGCTCTTCCTGGGCAAAGGGGCGTGGAGGTGCTGAAAAGCGTTACCACTTCCTTGACCAAACCGTTCTCCAGAGTGGTGATAGTAGTTACATTCCATCATCTGATATCCAGATCCTTCAACACTGAAACTCTCGTTGTCACTATTTACTAAGCATCCATGCTGCGTATCCTCATCGTCTTCCTCAGATGGGATCCTTCTCTTCTGCAGAATTGGATGGTCTCCTGCGATACTTTTGCAGTCCAAAGCCAGACGATCATCCTTGTGTCTGATCCCTCTCTTCTCAAGCCGACTAACTTTCGCCTTTGGTTTTTCTGAATCACACTCTCCGAGCTTGGGCACAACTTGTACGCGAGGTGCGTCCGCATCCACTGAAGAACTGAGCGGTAAAATCATCTGAGGGTCCTCATCCTCATTGCTTGAAGCCAGCTGCTCATCTCGCTTTTCAAGGTGTAGGCCACTTGTAGAAACGGGCCTTGAGCCCCTTGGCATCGTCACGCTAGCTCTCACTTCTGCCAGAATTTCACGGACCCTCTCCAAAGTCATCTTCGGCAGTGTTCGCGGTTGGAAGCTTGCATCCCTTAGAAGTCCACAAATTCCTCCACCTTTTAACAAGCTCGAGGATACTTGTCCCTTTGCAATAAACTCAATGTCCTTGGATCCCTCTCGCCAACTGACGATTCCGTCGCAACTTACTGATATCTTTTCGGCAAATCTCTCATACCTGTATGCACAAGCCATTGCAGCGGTATGTCTTGGACAGCTTTGCAACACCAGATTGCTCAATGGAGGAAAGCTTTTGGTACTTTCGGCCAGCACTGAGTCTCTACAACTGTCATTGGGTACGAGAAGCTGTTTCCCTCCACTTTTCTTGAAGTTTCCCTCAATTTGCTCGAGGTAGAAATGAAGCTCTTCCTCCTTCGACCTAGTTAGATCCGATGCTTCTTATATCGATCCTTTCTCCCTCCCACCCTCCCTCCCTACCCCATCCCATTATCGGCTCGCTCCTACCACACAGTTTGTGTGGTATCTGATCAAATAACGAAAAATAATGATTGCACTTAATTAATCGCATGTGGAAGCCTATGTGTACACTTTATTACACGGTGCTCCCTGTAGAGAGTGACATCCTCCTAACAGTGGCAAAAGGTTGCCAAAACATTAGTTTATAACCATGAATACTTCCCAGTAGTGGCATTGGAAAGGTTCTTAATCTGGAAAGTAGCCTCTATATGTGATTCTTCTCTTCCATCTGCAAAGGGAAAAATCTTCAATGGTTGACAGCGACCTACTCTTGATTCGCTCGAATTCTTTGCTTCAGAATTTTTTTGTCAGTTTGGAATCACATTGGAGAAAATAAAATAAAGACTTCATCGATGGATTAAGATGCAAGATATGAATCACATGATGGACATCGTCATCTCAAACCTTGTATTATGTGGTTCAAAATGACAACTTCTAAACATGACTATGATAGTCAACATTGTCTCCACCAATAGAATTGTTTTCATCCAGTTTTAAGTAATGATAAGTTGATAAGTATCTAAGTCAATAATTATAGTATCCATCTACTCGCAGGTCAGAAAAAACTAACAGTATCGATGGAGGCTTTAGTCGATTAAATCGTCAGCAGTGTTGATAAAAAAAACATGATTCGACTCTGAGTATGATTGCTAATTAGAAACTTGTCACTACATCATGGAGAGCTATTGCACTGGTATTGGTTTGCTATAACCAAGCGTTAGCATTCATCTGGCTATCAAAGAAGCTTCCCTTGTTATCTCCAAAAATCCCAGTGGTCTACCTTTAAGTCTCTCATCATCACAGTCGAACTCGTTATCATATCACATTTTAATAAGATAGCGATAAATTTTTATCTCATATTCAAACATGTCAAACAAAATTTTAATGTTCTTAGATATAATGAAAATGTCTTAAGCTTTAATGATTCAAATCCAAAATAGTTAATGATTCTTGAAGCAAACACTACACTAACGGTGTGATTAATATTGTACCCTTGTTATTCTAATCATGTATCCAACTTGGTGGTTAAATACAATTACATAAGAGATCCTAATCTACCACTTAAGGAAGCACTAATCTCATCACAAAGACTATAAGTCTGTACATAAAAATTTCAAAATTTAGATTGCTTGTAAAGTTAATAGATATAAATCTACCATCAAATGCCAATCAGTATAGAGCTTGCTGCAAGATCACTTATAGCTACGATAAATTGTGACACACAACCCAAACTCTTAGATATTAAAGCTACGCTGAATTGTGAAACACATGCCAAACTCTTAGACATTAAATTATCTTTGGTTTCAGTTTTTCACTGAGGATCCCAACAATACATTTCAAAGCTAAAATTCAAATCTCAATTCTTTGAGTCACTTTTTAATCTTGTCTCTCAAGAATGTGTGATACATACATATGAGTAACATCACAATGGCACAGAGGTACATCTGTTACCTCTGAAATCTCTCGACAAGCTATATATATACAAAGAGTGAAGAAACAACACTCCGTGCATCATTCCAAACTTGGCAACTTCTCTTCATCCTCATCTTTCAGGTTTTTCTCTCTGAAACATAGTTTTTTGTAATAAATTCACACTTCCTTCTTTTCACATCACATAGAGTTATTTTCTTACTCAATAGACAATTTGTCTGATCTCATATCGCTCACTGTGATTATATATATTTCTACACTAGATTCCAAGAAGCTCCTTGGCACTTAATCGTCTCAGTCAATCTTCAGCTGGTTATGTTTCGCAAGAACATAACCACCTGCTAAGAGAACCGGCTTGACCAACCACAGGTATGAAACATGTGGACAATCCTGTAGGTGTCGTCCAGAATCAAGGAACTCAGTCATTACATTACTTTAATGTTGAAGTCTGCGTCTGAAGAATGGACAAAGATGATAACCCCACAGATCCAAAAGATATGACTTGCAAGTTTATAAAAATATACATCAATAAAGCATCTATCTCCACGTCAAGAAGGAAGTTCTCGTGTAGCTTGCAAATAAATAGGTTTGAAGATGGTCGTATTAATTATTTTTACTATCTTCCACCAAGTGGGCTGTGTCACCAGTCATCTTTGAAACATCATTTATTGATGACGTATGCTATAGGATCGAAGCTTGCATACTCATCATCAATTGTGTTGATGTTAAGTATTGTTATCGTTAGTTTTGAAGATAGACATGATAAAAATCAATAGACAAATTGTTCTCCATTTACTTGGAGTATCTTATAGAAATTAGATATTCTTCCTATGATTGATGCAGATTAAACCTTCCACTTGATCCGGTTGACTAATTTCAAGGTTTCTCAAACTATTTGCTCAAGAGTTGTCAAATTCATACTCTTAGGACCGGTCCAAAAATGACAAAATCTGCTAACTTTAGTTTATTACAAGAACTATGATTTATCTTGTCAATACTTTAAGATTAATAAGCATGTAATAATAATGATCTATTATTTAATATCATAATGAGAGAAGTAACTCAAGGATCATTTGAACTGTATGATGATTTTAATACACAAGGTTTTGCAAATTGTCTTCTGATATATTGTCTGTTGAGACATTTGCTGTGATAAATTCGAATTAGATAGAAAAAAAATCGAGAAATAATCAAATAATTGTTAAATCTGGTGTCATTCCATCACTACATGAAATATAAATATGATAAGATGTGTTGATATTTGTGTTTCGCCATATCAATTATAGTCACAGTTAAGTTAATCGAGTTTAATTCGTAGCTAGTTACAGTTAAACTATATGACTGAAGTATAGAATAGCGCTTGATTAAGTACATGAATTATTGCTGTTTTACCATAAGAAGCATACTACTTTCTACTAGTATATTCATTTCCTCCGACTTGATTAACTAGATACTCGTTTGAATTGGCGAAAAAACTGAATCTTATCAGTTTTCAAAGCCAAAACTCAAACCAGAAGTTTCCAAAAGAGTGAATAATTCGAAGACTAGTACGAAGAAGACCAAGTAATGTATCGTTTTGTACTTTTTGGTGTTATATTAAAGATTTGAAATCCTAGTATAATTTGGTTATTTGTATGTAATTTGATTTAAATTCAAACACGTGAAGTGTGTTTATGGGATGACAAACCTACACTAAGCTTTTTTCAATTCTTATAGATTTTCGATTAGTAGGTGGCATATTTAATGACCCAGATATTTAGAGCGTGTTGTAAGAGAATTTTTGTGGATAATGAGACTAAATTGCTTGGCTTTCCCTTTCTGTTCAAACTTAGTACATACACAAGGGGACTCAAGTATTCACAGACTTTACTTTTACTGTTACAGTAGGGTACATTGCATTGGGAAAGTTACATATCTACACTACTTATGACAAACGAACAATAACTATTGAAATGTCATCTGTTGTCCCGCGATCCTGAGCCAGCTTGATCAAACCCTTGATTGTAGTGTCCAAGGGCTGCTCTTTCCTGGTAGATGAAGCGCAAGTAAACTATTAGACATGCATCTCGAATAAGCAAGTTACGATGTTTAACATGTGCCAACTACCGACCAGACAGAACCTCATTGTTTCGGTTGGCAGATGAGCAAGCAAAACGTACGGCAAATTTAGACGATCGTTCCTCAAACTTACAAGGTAGAGCTTCCTTGGTTACTCATGTGAAGAAGTGACGCTACAAGCACTATGGACATGGTAGCTTACCCCGCTGACGTGCAGAAATCAACAACTTCTTGGTTTGAGATCTTCTCCCATAGTCCATCCGTTGCCAGAATTATTAACTCGTCCTCTGTGACGTTTAACATACAGATTTTCAATACATATATATTAAATGTGAAGCATACGACAAGAACAAAAAGGGTAACCGTCCTAAGGTGGTGTGTACGTTAAACATTAATCTCGTAGCACTACATACCTGGGAGCAAGGTTTTCACGGTAACATGTGGTTCAGCTGTTAATCCAAATCCACCTCGTGCTCCATCTAATTTACCGTCTGTCCAGCTTTAAATGAACATAATGCTGAATCAGAATACAGCAAAGAGTAGATAACAACGAACAACATGCAGGAATAGAGACTCAGATTCCAAGGAAATACATGGCAAAGACAACTCAAAAGCATCCAGATCTTCATGATAGGACAAAATCGAACATCTCAAAACTTGAAGGCTAACTCAAAATCCGACAAAGACTACTTTCAAACCCTTCGGACAATTGTAGAGGACAAGTCAAACATACTCTTTGAGGTAAACATCTCCAAAAGCTCTTGAGAGGGCAAGAAGACCGCCCACACGCCAGGTCCCATCAACATTCACCACCTACAAATATACAAGGCGAAGGTTAGAATCGCGGAGTAAGATGAAAGGATGTCCGTATCTGACTCGCTAAAAAGCGTAAGCATTTACTTTTGACCCATACTGTTATCTGGTTCAGTATCAGGTTTTTAGTAATAATGATCACAAGGGACTGAATTTCTCTGCCCCATTAACATTTGCATCTTCTAGTCATTTCACGTATGAAATGAATAAGCGACTTTTAGTAACTATATGTTGATCGCAATCATACCCAAGATAAGACCCATGAAACAAGTCAGATGCATGTAATAACGGATGTCTATCCAACATAACATGATCATTACAGAAAGCTTTAACACAGCAGTGAATCGTATTGTACCATCTATGCAATTATGAAGTTAAATCTGCATATTTGAAGGTACTCTTTGTTATGCATGAAAAGAAGGCGTATTTTGTAAGTGAGAACATACCAGTGGTTTCTTTGGCACGGGATTCTTCTTTTCAATTCGCTTCCTTTCTTCCTCCACGTCTGGCTACACAAGTGAACCCGATGCATACATGCATCAAGCTTTTGAAAACAAAATCCCTAGTCACTGCCTGTTAGCATTCTCAGTATGTATATTCATTCCCCACCACCTCCTCCGTCCTACATAGTAAGAAGGCTCCAGTGATCTGAACAAGAAATCACCTGCTTTTTCTTTACAAACATTTCCAAGACTAAGACTAAGAAATGATAAATTAGATGCTAATTGATATAGAACATGTGCAGACAAGACTTCTAAATTATAGATTAAAATCATACATACAGTTCGTCTTCACCTTGAGAACAAGTGCACATGTAAGTGTGATACGGTGGTTTAAATTACTTTGAATCTAGGACATTCAATGAAAGAAGAGAGAATCTAAACCTTGTGATCAAAAGTCAGTTGGATAGCATTGCCCCCTCGGGCAAGAACAACACGTGCGTCTCCAACATTAGCAGCAATTATCTTTTGTTGCCCATCTGGTCAGAAAAGTTTATGAACGTGAGAAAGAACAATGTATAAAATGATGGTGATATACTAGACCTGATAATTCACGTCACATCAGCCTTTCATGTCTATTGCATTTATATACATACCTTCAGATTGTTTAAGAACAACCGTTGCAGCGGTGGCACCACAACGTGAGCCGCCAACTCCCCTCTCTCGCATACCACCAAAAAGTCCTTTCGGTTGAGCCTTGCCATACAAAGTGAATAACTTAAGGAGTTGCTCTCATCATAAATGTGCAACAGTACTTTTCGTGCCTCTTGAAGTCATCTTATGAAACCCAAAACTTGCATTCTTGATTTCACGAACGTCGATCTCATACAGATATGTATTAAATTATGACATGTACATACCAGAGTTAGCTGATCAAATTCGTAGTAGGCACTTTCCGTGGCCCTCACTGGATCTGAGCCTGTAAAAATAACCTGTATTAGAAATTTTCAAGAGATTCCTATTCGAAAGAATCAGAAGTTTAGGGAGATTATTAAAAAGCATGGCATGTATGTTCGATACACAACATAAGGTAAATCGGATCTATCCGGATTACCAACTTCTTTTCCAATAAGGTGCGTGCTCTACTTCTTTGACACCAAAGGAAAGTATAATCATTCGATGAATAACTAACTAACTAACTAACTAACTAACTAACTAACTAACTAACTAACTAACTAACTAGCTAACTAACTTCTTCCTATAACCCTGTGAATAAGCTTTGTGGGTAGATACAACAGTAAGGTCATTGCCCTTTCCATTGCAATTGAAATCCACATGAAGGTCCTTGTAAATGGAGTAGATTTACTTCATGCACTCAGCTCTTGATTTACTTTAAGGGTCATGATGAAGAGTAGCCACAAACTCAAAATGAATTGAAAGGTAAATCAGAACAAAGAATGTGAGATTGGAGCTACCTGACAGCTGATTTTTATACACCGGCCAGAAGCCAGTCTTCAGCAAGCTGCAAAAAAGAACACACTCTTAGTTTACAGATCATCGAAGTAAGTGTTATTTAATACTAATTTCATACTGATTTAGAAGAAGAAATAAAAGCAGAAAAATGACGCTACTCACTCTGCAACAGCAATTCCACCATGACCGTCAAAAACACCAAAAAAGGCAGGTTCTTTTCCCTTCGGATCCACCACAATACTCAGAGTGTCCTCCATATTCGGTCTTCCTGTTCCCTTAACTGCCAAAGCACCATATCTGCACAAAGCATAGTGCATAAGGCCATCGATTGGCGCAGGTACAAACAGTAGTTGTATCTCAAAAGTGTTTATTAAAACAAAGAGAGCAAAGTGTTCGAGTTAGGCTTGTTTCTGGAAAAAAAGACAAACAATACTGGCGGACTCTGAGCCCTCTGTTGAAAGATTTTTAAGTGAAAATCATGAAGCTTTTGCACCGTATACTACAGAACATATGACTGAAAATTGGAAGAAGACAGAAATATGCATAATTATGCGGTAGTGATACTGATTAGACTGTTTACTTCTTTACTTCTTTCCTCTTGAGTACATATATTTCTGATTTCCCCTTCATACTACCAACGAACGTGTTCCCCATACAATTTCAACCATCAAACATTGTGATAATAGGAATACAGTGCCTTCTATACTATCACCTAAACATTAGTTGCTACTCAAAATCGGGAGATTTATGCGTTAAAAATTTGAGTGTCAATTGGACCCCGATATACTCTGTTCTACATTGCCCAAAAAAACAAAAAAAACGAATGTCAAGATACGCTGTATTCAAAGGAGGCACACTTAACATAAATTCATACCCTCGATTGGAATGACTACAATCAGAACTGGACTACCAGAAAATTGTGAAAACAGAAAAATATGAGCTCAAAAGAAAAGCATGAAAATCACCGTTCTGTCAAAACCAGAGCACAACGAACTACGCCTTTTCTTGCAGAGGCTCCTCTGTTCTGAATGTTACCAACTGCGCAAACAATCGGATCAAATGCAATGAGCATTGGACAGCATATCGTTCATAAATCCTGATCATAACTCTAGTCATTACTTGCCGTATTACATCGTTAAAGTCAATTTTAGAGATTTGAACTCTGTGCAAGTGTATGCAGATGAAATGAAATAACATTGTGGCTTTACAATGTATGTTTGGTTCTTCAGCAGCGAGCTTCCAGAGACAAACCGCCTACGATGCAAAATTCAATTTCTTTCAGAGCTACTTGCCTTCAAACTCGACGCATTTCTTCACCGAAGCCAACCGAGAAGCACGAACGGATGAATTCTTCAGAGGCATGCCAGCTTGAAGATTCAAAGTCATGGCTGCATTTACCATCGCCATGACTGTGAACACCTCTTCCGGCGAACGAATTGGCAGACGAGCTCGGATCGAATTCAAGCTCAACGCTCCCTTGACATGCTTCGCAGTGGATGAACGAACGACTGTGGCTTGGCGTGGTCACCGTCGCAACTGCGGATTTACCTACAGTTGGACCTCGTAGGGGACTTAAGAAACGCTTTCCCTATGAAAGTGTGACGGGTTTGGCTAATTGATTATTTTCCACAACTCCAGGTTATGACAAGAGATTTTCGAGGTACGGTACAGTTTTCGGTATATTCTGTGTATATTCGTCCAACACTGAAGTTTTTTTCCTTGGGATTGCTACGTCAAGCTCCGAGATTGTTATGAAACGATTTCTATGAAAAATTACAAAATGGTTTGGATGCGATTAGGGTGGAATGGCATTGGAATTGCACCAACGGTAGCCAATGATGGACTTATCTCCATGAATTCAATAGTCATTATTTGTCACATGAACTGATTTCCCAAATTTCAAATTTCTTTCTGAATTTTATTTTGTATTCACCTTAGAACTATGCAAAATTTTCGGCTCTCTAATACTTTTCTTTATCAGTTTGATAAAGGTGAAGTTTTGGTAAAAGAGGTTCTATGTACATAAGAATTGTTTTGAAAATTCTATTTGATATTATATAATTTCGAATATTATATATTCTGATGCATTTAACTAAGATGTTGGAATAATCATCAATTGAATAACATATATACCGAACTTGAATACTGTTAAACATGCTTTTGTATCAAATTGAGAGTGGAAATGCCTCTCTTGATAACATCAATAATTGCCATGTGAATTTTCACATCTTCTCTTCTCTTACGAACACTTACAATTGTTATTTTTGTAATTGGATACTTGCAACAAACATTACACATTCGAATGAACCGTTGTTGTGTGAGAGCCGGAAATTCATCATGTGACTTATAAGATATTGATTATCAGTTTCTTGTACGCAGTACTCCTGAAATAATTCTTAGAGTTGTAACATTCTTTGTTATGCTACCATGTTCTAAACTTGGAGATGATCATACTCAACTCTACAGGAGTAGTTTCATCAAGATAGACAGAGTCACACTTTATCCTTATTTTCTCTAGAAGAAAACAAACTACTAATTTGAATTCATATGAAGAATTTTATAGTAGGTACATTAAAAGTGCATTTGAGATCATGTCTTTTGTTTTACATCATCTTCTTTTTATTTACCTTCATACATTATCTACTTCCCAAAACCTACTTCTTCAAGATTCTTTGAGAGAGCATTTATTGTTCATGTAAGGCTATGTTATTGTGTTGTAAATCATGAAAAGCTTACTAATATGAAGGTCATATATGACCTAGAGTGCAAGGGGACTTTGTAAGGTCAACTACTGTCTGGTCATCCATAGCTACCTAAACAATAATAAGATGAGTTATTTGCTAGCCTCGGGATATACATAATGGGTCATTCTCTTTTCGAAAATCAATATATAGACTACTCTTGCGTATACTCATATAAATTGCTTGAGGTTATCTTGCCCGAAAATATAGTCCATTGGTGAGCTACATAGAAGCGTAGGTTGCATTTTTGGTTTGCATGTATAAATCAAATTAGTTCATAATTAATCAACATGAGAGAAACTCATCATACTACAGTGAACTCATGCATTATCACCAATAAATATATAATCGTATTCATCCACAAGTGAATAGCTCCATACAAATGTTCATAGAAAATCTATATCCGTATTTTCGACATGGACTACGATGACGGGTAGTTATCGTAGTTACAGTTAGCTACATTTGTAGTAATCACATCAAGTCTCACCATAACTTCCTCTATACCCCAAAAGGGGATGAATATTTTCACCATTCGTTTCCAAATCCAACTGTATTGTCGAAGTTAGCATAAGAACATGTTGGAAGGCAGTGAGTGGGTGAGTAATGAAAACAAGCATCTCCATGTGTCTGGCCTAAACCCAGCCGGTGATGTGATGACTGCATTTTGAACCCACGTGACTTTCACGAATTCTTTTCGGCCGACGTTTAGACTCAACTGAACTCATCAAGCCAGTAAAATGAACTCCAAGATGAAGGGCGACTCGGAACTCCACGTTCGACTGTGACGTCACAAAACATCAACCTGAGAAAATTCCCCTCTGAGATTATAGTCTGGAAGGCGATTCGTGAACTCTGTCTCCAATTAGTGCCTTAATACAACGTAAGTGGGAGCCGAGAATTGTCCCATTGAAATTCAGGCACGATAGTACCTCGTCTACGATATCCGCCAGCTAGAGAAATCGGTGAAATCCGTCCGAAGACTTTATTACCACAAAGGGTTAACTTGATCATCGACGGTTGAAAGCTATCGAGAAAACTTCGCCGCGTGTCTAAGATTGAGTTTGTCAAGTTCGAAAGCACGTCAGCTCAGGCTAGAAGCTGTAGGTAAACGGTGAAAGATTGCAGCTTCGAAGTTCCCGAGATCGAGCATGTCTACAGGTTTGAAAGCAATTGCTAGTTTCGTACTCTTGTCGCCGGAGGATAAATTCAAAGATACCCGCTTTGGATTTGGGCATAGGAATGCTGAGTAGTCTGCGAAGAAGTGACAAATGAGCTTGCGTGCTTGCCTGCAGCTGAGCTCTCTGCACATTCTGGACAATTCGTCCTCATGATTGCCGAATTCTCACGTATCCTCGACTTACTTGCTGAGGGAAATTGAGAGCCCCATGCTGGAGCACCTGCAGTGTTCGCCAACGTATTTGAACACGAAGCTTCTCCGTTCAGAGCTGCGCCATGGCCAATTCTGTTCATTTGTCTTCATTATACGGGAGTTCAATATTCCATGCCGTTGAGACTTCCTCCTCAGCTTCTCACAAGGAACGACTCGTCTCCGTAACCAAACGAGGCAGCTGCAATGGTAATCTTCGCTGTACTTTAAGAGCGCGTTTGGATTCCTTACTCGGAAGAGCTGATGCTTTCGTACGTAGTTCTCATCTGGAGAAGGTAGTAGAAGATTATGAATAAGTGTAATTCGAAAAGATTGCAAATGACTTTAGAAGCGAGATCGAGTACGAATCCGTTTCGGTATGGAATTCCAATTTCCGTTTCTTCGCCATGTGGAGGTTCAGCAGTAAGTGACGCTAGCATGGAATCTCTGTGCAGTTGTAGCGGCTGCTGTGAATGTTCCCGCTGATTGGAGGCAGAAAGCTAAGCCCATCAAGCCAGGCTCCACTTATCCTGCAAAGGATCACTGCAGGTGTCCTACTTCGCCATCACCTTTCATCCCTGCCCGGCTCACTAAAAATTTGACCTTTAGGCTTGAATTTGAGATTTGGCCCAAACAGGAGAACGCCCGCACAGAGTGCATTGTGATTCACCTCTGATTTTAGAGTCCCTACCCTCGTATTTCTAATTCGGGAAGTCCTCATACGATTGATTTTTTTCTTGCAGTCATTGTGGACTGTGCGATACCTACTACGTCGCCCATGTCAAAGACGCTTGCGCTTTTCTGGGAAATGGCATGTCCAAGGTGGAGGTGCGTCACTTTAGTTTTCTGAAACCCTCAGGCATCGTTCACTCTGATATTGATGTAGCGAGTATTGTTGCTATACTAGCATTTGTTCGCTTAGTGTATGTCTGTGCTGATCAAAGGTTTAATTTTCTCACTACACAGAATCTTGAACCTCGAGTTCACGGGAGGGGCAGAGATCCAGACTCTCTTGATGACTTGCACTTCGGTGTTACCCAAGAAATGCTTTACGCAAGGAAGATTGTACCTGTCGCCGGTACGTATACCCGGCTGGGAAGTTCATTTCGGTCAGCCCTCTGCCATAACTTCTTCGTTTAAAGTGAGGTAGATATGCCTCAGTAGATACTTGTGGAAGATCTCATACTGTGTTTCGACATTTTGGAAGGGGCTCAATGGACGGGCATAGTGACGACCATTGCCATGGAAATGCTTCGCACGAATAAAGTGGATGCTGTGATTTGTGTTCAGAGGTAAACATCAGATACGACTGTTATTTCTAATTGTGGACTTGAAGTTTTTGTAACCACTTAACCTTGAATCTATGCACAACAAGAGACCAGGCCAGTATATGATCTCATTTATACCCAAATTTAAAATTTTTTTCGTTATGATGCAGTGACCCCAATGATCGATTCAGCCCAATGCCTGTCCTCGCGAGGTAATTTTGTACTGAAAATCAGCCTTAGCTTGTGAAGGCTCCTATCAGGGTCATGCTTTAGATTGTACTAAAGCTGATTGATAGCCATCAGCTTCCTTAGAGCAGCTAAGATGGACAAGATTTTATTGCATTTCATAGTCCCGAACTCTTTAGTATTACCTCCCGAATCAGAGATGCAGTCAGGCATACATACTTTGTGACCATACTGTAGAGGGCAAGGTGGCTGTAGGCTACCTTGAAACTTCCGAATCGTGATCTGAATTTGTTCACGCAAAGTACTGTGTAGAACATTGTATAAATTTGTCAAAGTGAATCGCATGGAAACGTTGTGAGGTCAGGCCCTTCAGAATCAAATTGTGGCATTCAGAGTACTTTTCTTTTGAAGCTAAAATGCCAGCTTATGCTTAAATAGACTCAATCCGCGATGATGATCAGAACCCCAGAGGAAGTATTGGCAGCTAGAGGAGTGAAGCCAACTTTGTCACCAAATTTGAACACCTTGGCTTTGGTCGAGGTAGGTGGCGTTTGCTTCCAGAAGCTAAGTTTATGGTAACACGTCAGAACGTTTGTGGAGATGATATCAATCTAATACGTCTGTGTTGTTTCTGTCTCTTGAATCTGACAGAAAATATTCAGGACGATGATGTTAGACATAGCTAGATTGGTTTCTTACTTACGTGAGCTGATTCTGAAGGACTGTGTGAATGCGGTCATGTCAGGCGGCAGGGGTTAAACGCCTTCTTTTCTGCGGTGTCGGTTGTCAGGTCCAAGGTAGGTAGACATTGCTCTTGTAGATGACAATATCTAGATGTGTTCTATGACTAGAAGAGGTCTATCTTTTGTGGTGTATTCATGGAGTAAAAAAATTGTGTAGAAGACTGATATGTAGGCATGATGAATTTATGCTTTCTCTACCATGGTTATAACTGACTGATGCTTTCGTCTCTGTAGCACTCAGATCAGTCGAGGAACATTTGGGCCTAGAGAAGCTTTATGTTCTTGGAACCAATTGTGGTAAGTCGGAAACGACACCTCCATGCTTCCAAACCTACCAGACTTTCTACTCCTTCCAAGAGCTTCATCTGCAGAACTTTAGAGTAAACGTGTAGGTTTTGATACTCTGCTGATTTCATTTCCTCATTATCTTTCACATTCCTGCGTTTTTAGATTACTCTTCTGGCCTGAGATTCTACTTACTAACTTTGTAGCTGTATTTACTATTACCATGAAAATCAGTGGACAATGGACCTAGGGAGGGACTCGATAAGTTTCTAAAAGCAGCAAGTGATGATCCCGACACCGTGCTGCATTATGAGTTCATGCAGGATTACAAGGTCAGAAAACCGCCGCAATCGATCCAGCTTGTGCAACTCATTGGATGCGAATAAGTGCAAACCAATGGATTTTATCTGTACTTGTCAGAAAGTCGAATAAGATGAGATCTGGCTGAACGATAGTTTCCTCGTTTTAACGATTGTGCACATCTAAAGTCCTCAGAAGTTTAGAGATGTGATCGTTTTTAACTTCTTGTTGCTCCAATCTACTATTTTATACACAGGTTCATCTCAAGCATCTGGATGGACGTAATGAAGAAGTAAGAATTTGCTTTTGAGTTTTTCCTTGATTTAACTAAGTTTCATTGTTCTTGGTTACAAAACTGCCGTTTCCAGGTCTACGATCTTACGACTGGTCTTCCTTACAACAGATTTTGTTAATCGGAAGTCAAGAATCCACAGGATTATTATATGCAGGGTTACGACCTGTCCGTTCAAAAGTAGTGCATATAGCTTTATTGTTCTCTCGATTGGATACAGCTAAGTGGTTTCTTGATATCTTCGTTTCTGTGTAGGTACCATATTTCTGTTTACCGGCAGATGAGTTAACAGATGTCATTGCCCCTTCTTGCTACAGGTACTAAAATAATACCAATCTTTTGCTGACCGTGAGGCTTATTGACGATCTTGATGCGGTTGATGTGGTCTTTAAACATTAGAATCTGGGTAACATTTTTAAGAAGCTGGTCATTTCAAGGTCATCGAGTACCTCAAAAGCTTCTCGGTTCATGTGCATTGCACATCTTGTAGTTAATAATTCGAGTATTCACACTGAACGGAGTGCTGTTCTGGCTGGTTCCTGATTGTCCTCGGTCATTTTCATTCAACTTCGTCAAGTCTCTTATCCTCGTTGCTTCGGTGGTATTTTCATGTGAATGCAGTTGCTTCGACTATTCAAATGGACTAGCTGTGAGTACGACAACTTCATGACCTCTAACCTGATTTGAAGTAAACAAACTAATAGTATAGGTGTTGGCCCAGTAGCTTAATGTTGTGCAATATGCTTCATATTTGTCTTCACATATCGTCAGAAAAATTGGACGGTCTCATCCTAGTAATCGTCATGGGAAAGAAGGTCATTTTAAAAGCGCGGTTAGATCCTTTCTGATGGTGGCGTGACCATGGCTTGTCAGATACACACACTCTGGGCTGAGAGGTTTCGTAAAAGTTTCACCGTTTGGTCTGTTCCCGTTTGGCGTGCCCGAGGGATTAGCGGAGGGTGAATTACTAGTTTCTGATTTGCACGTCGTTCGCTGTTTTAAACTTAAGTAGGGCAAATACTAATGAGTACTCTTGTGCAGAGCAGGATCTCGTAGTGGGCTACATGGGGGTGCCGAAGTATCCAGGTGTTTCCATGTCGAATCATCCACAATATGTTGTTGTCAGGTGGAGGATCTGCTGCGAATTTTCATTCTATAAAGTTTCAAATGTCGTTGCTTTCTTCAATTATGTCGTCCCTTTCATTTCAGTTTGCTTCTACAGCCTGAGCGTGGAACAATGTCTATCATGTCCCTATCACTTAAACGTTGGCTTCAATAATATCCGTTCCTTACCGTGGTTTTAATGAAAGATTCCTTTTTTCGTTCCTTTGAGCTGATAACCTCCTCTACGTTCATTATGTAAGAAATGTCCGATCGAGCATTTACCGCGTTGAACTTTTGCTCCTTAGGAATGATAATGGCAAGGAAATGCTCGACACCGTTCGTGATCTTCTTCATATAACGCCAACAATAAGCACGGTATGTACAGTTTCCTTCTGGGTCTATCGATGACATGCTTCTGATGTCGTATGCTTTGTATCACTGTTTATGTCTGATGGCATTCGTTGACCCCACTGACTATTCTATAATACTGAGAATGGTCAATATCGGTAACTCTCCTAGTCACTAACTATCAGCTCTGAAGTCTTCCTTCAAATAACCTGCCTTGAACTTTGGGGCCAGCGATGGAAGAAATTATACAGGAACAGCTTTCGACCATCGCTTCGTACTATCGACAATCACTCAGGTTTTCTTATGTGTGAACATAATAATAATTTGATTCGGGAAAGGTAGGGAGGATTGTTATTACAGTGGTGCTTTGCGCGTGCAGGGTGATCGAAAACCGTTTGTTATGGAGACAGTCAAAGCAGATACGAAAGCCAAGATAGGTAAGTAACGACTTTCAGTAATCAATCACATGTACTTGTGTGTTCCTGTTGGTGCTGTGCTGCCTCGCAGCATGAAACCATTTCACTGTATTTTGGTAATCTTATTTGCAAGGTATTGACTTATCTATGTGCTTTTGCAGGAAAAGAGAAAACCAAACCAGCTCCAAAATTTGTAGGCAACATCATTGCGTTTCTTCTCAATCTCGTAAGCATCTATCAAATTATCACATAAGCGTCGTATCCGTGTATTTCGCCGTCTTCTTTCTTTCGCTCGAAGCATCGGGTAACTATTGAAAATATATACCAAGTTTATCGTCGTTCTGCAGGTGGGGCCCAAAGGGCTTGAATTTGGTCGTTATTCTTTGGACTATCACACAATAAGAAACTATCTCTACGTTAACCAGAAGTGGGGTAAAAAGAGGTATGGAAACGTACCGACGATCTTCTAGTATATTTCATAATTTGCTAGTTTTAGATTGATTTTTATAGAGCGTCTAATTGACCAAATCTTACCTGTGTGATGTAGGGCTGATGAACATACTCCTAGTTACGCGAAGAAGATCGTTGCGATGTATAATCAAAAGGGTGACGTCGATAAACTCATTGAAGAATTACGTGACTGAATTGCCACCGTGCTGTACATACACTTGAATCGAGTCCGTGATGTGAAGAAATTGCTAAGTGTTAAGATAGAGGCTGTCGATAGGGGCTTGATATGTAAAATGGTAACATTTCTGCTGTATCATACAAATTCATTTTTCTTGTGACATAAATTTCGGATGAGGTGCACAAGCGAAATACATCATTAATTTATTGCTCAAGTGTCTCAAGTCAGTGCCTGTACCGTGGAGCACACAATTGTCAAGATAAATTGTCCAACTTTTTGTTCAAAAGATTTCAATTGAGTGCAGACTCTCCTAAGGTATGGTGAGCGTATGGTAAGCGATGCAATAAAAGCCTCCTCTGAGCATTCTATAAAGTACCTCATTGTGCTTTACTACTCAAGATCAAAAGTAACCATATATTGGCTCGTCACCAGTTATAACCAAATGAACTGTATGAAATGACCAAGCACAGGAGTAGGCAATAGCGTCAGTGTGGATGTACCGGTGGAAAGGATACTGAGAAAAAGAACTCGCAGGCTTACAACACACAACAGTGACTACGTATCTGCTAAATTGGTGTAAAACGCACAACTTTTTACAGGAAAAAAACTGGTGAGAAGCCCGGGTACTTGAATGACAAGAGGCCTAGGACTCCGTGTTAAAAAACACAATCCGGAAATGTGACCCAGAGATACCAAGTAAACAAATACAAGTAGTATATACATTAATTTAAAGCCAAAATACATCGACAGACGAACTGACTAGTGAACCTCGAAGCACCTTTCGAACATCTGTGGTTGGTTGCTTTCCTACTTTACTATTCAGGTGGGTAGTACACAGTTGCGACCAGGACTTCCAAGACCAAGCAACTGTGTTTCTATGGATGATCACATACCAAACCACAGAAGAGTAACGCCTTCAGTTTCTGAGTCTCACAATGCCTTCAGATGGTCCAAAGCCAAGACGTGTTGTTCGCTTTGACTCTTCGGGCAGGGTTTAGTTTGGATCTAAGGTAAAGCGCAGGCAAGAATCGGTCACATAACCACCCTGTGTCTGGTTCTGTGGATCTCGTGCTGTATTGCACTCCTCGGAAGGCCTAAGAAGCAATCTTCGGCAGTTGTTCTGGTCCATTGTCCAAGTGCAACCGATTAGTGCCTCTGCATATATGTCCACACGTCCTTTGGGAGGCAAGGAGATGGTGTTAGCGTAGATTTCGTGAACCCTGCGACCGCTGTAGAAGTAAGCGCCGTTGTACTTGAGGCAAAACGAGTCTATGGACTGCATTATCTGCAAATTTAAGAACTTCTCATTAGCAGCGTTTTGTCGAGGACACGAGAACAAAAAACACGAGCGTCCAGCAGGGCTGTATACATAATTCGGCTAAACTTTCAGGCTTTTCTCCTGTTAAGTTCACCTGTTCTCGCTCCATTCGATATCCAGAGTGGTAGCATGTCACAAGCTCCTCACTTCCAAGCTCCTCACTTGCACACAGCAAAAGCAAGAAGTCCGAGACAAGAGCAATGACAACCAACATGTAGAGCCGAAGAACTCCTCGAGCCATGACCACAATTGGGCAAAGCAGTGTCAAAAGAACCCTGAGTCACAGCGATTGTAAATCTCTAAAACTACAAGTTTTGAGCTCAGGAACATTAAATACAAATGGTGAGCCAGTTTGCGCTCATATACTGCAGAAGGGGGCCCATGAGAAACCATAATAACCAAACTAACCACCCCGAGCAGCACTGGTTGAGTTGAACGGTTTCAAGAGAGTGTAGAGTACGTGTTAGTCTCATCTTCAAAAACACGTAACTTTGACTTTTGTCACTTTCACATCACTATCAACAGTCCCCCTCAACATATTCAAGGAGGAAAAATCACTCTGAAATATTTCCAATCAAAGTCATCCACTGTAGTTGATGATGGTTATTATTGTTCTTTTGTCAAGTTAGAAATATTTTCATCATCAGATGATGTACATGATACCCTGCCCTGCACGGTCAAGGGCCCGTACATGAAACTGTCTGACATGAGAAACTCTTTGACAGTTTCGAACCATGGACTACTACGAATCTGATGCCAAGGCTTGGCACTCCCCTTCCGGATCACTACTTTCGTCTTGCTCGCCACCGCGACCTTTTTCCGCTTCAAACTCATCTTCAATTTCGCAGTGTTCACCATCCTCTCTCTCTCTCTCTCTCTCTCAACTACGATGCACCTCAGCTAACTCGTCCTCTTCGCAATCCTGCAGCTCTCCTAGCTTTCGCTGCCTGCACTTTGGGCCACTTCGATCGACACTGGATGAACAAAGTGCTCTGTACGTCTTCTGAGCACCCAAAACTTTGAAAGCCGATGACCACTTGAATTCAGCAGCAGAATTACAGTATAACAGAAGCAGGATCCCTCAAGAAAAGCAGAGTTTGTAGCTTCACGTCCTCAGCTCCCGGCGATGCGATGGAGTGGCGATTTCTGATACAGCTTTGACAGCGTGTTGTTTGGGTTGCAGTCAATCGGAACACAGTCATCTTCCGGTCGGATTGGGATGTGGGAATTCGGTGCGCCGTCTGAAATGTACAAGGCCCAGAGCCGCGCTCTCGATCCGCTCGTCGGTGTGGCCTCCGACGTTGCATGCACTCGACGTGCACACACGCGTCCGCCTCGTCGAAGTGTTCCGGACACGTGTCCAGCTGCTCATCGTCGACGGAACGCTAGTAGTAGGTCGCCAGCCCTTAACTCTTGCTGTCACTTAACAGAATTGTACTAATTTGTAACATCGCACCGCCTTCAAGGATATGTCACAGTCACAAACATAAAACGGCTTAAGTCCCAAACAATCCTCGAGAGGACCACGCCTCACCACAAAGGATTTCATTTAACAATTCCTTCAAGTTTGCAGTCACCGCCTCCCCTTTACGCCTTAACCAAGACTCTCCTTGCCTTGCCTTGCCTTGCCTTGACTTCTTTTCCTCCTCTTTCTCGTTTCTCTCCCTCCAATCTCTTCGTCAATTCTTCAAAGTTCTCTCCATTCTTCTATCTCTCTCCATGCATCGCTTCAGCAATATGTCACCTAAAAGATGAATTGTCGTGTTTTGTTGTTTGACCTCGGGGCGTCGGTGTTGGGTCAGATCAATCTGGAGGTGACAAGGTCATTTGAGGTTGTGACATACTCTCGATCCGAAAGAATTCGTGTATTTGTGATCAGGATACTGATAATGGGTAAAACAATCACTGCTTAAAGTACTAACAAAAATCATTACAATACAAATGACTCATTTATAGGAACTGAAATTTGTTTCAAAGAACAAATAATTTGAATGTATAAATATCTTGTTCTTCCATGACATCAAAACCATACTCCGCATTGTAGGAATTTAGGCCGCATGAATGGGCAAATATCACCGTAGATCTAAGTCTAAATTTCGTGTTCTTGAGTGCTAGCATTTTCGTAGGAGAGATCATGGAGAAAATGATTGCCTTCTCTTAGGAAGCAACAACAAGCTCCTCAGTATGACTTCTGTCTATATCCACTGTCTGAGTTGCTGTTGTAATTGTTTGATTTTATGTGTTATGTTCAAGTGTTTGTCATGATATCAGAATGTATTTAAGATTATGGTTACTCTTATCATATATGTCAAGTGTGCTTCTTCTTCCGCACTCAATAAAGTTGAAGTTGAAAATGAAGTGAGTTGTGACATTATTTGTCACAACTCACTGGAATGTCAGATCTTCTAAATTTGATGTATGTGTGAGGACATTGATTAATGTTAGACACACTCATGACATTAGATAGAATCTTTTTTATTATTATTATTTGGAGAAGGATGAGAATTCTTCTTGATGAAAGGTCGAGTTATGTTCACCTTGTATATATCATGACTTGAGATGCTTCTCCTCAGCAAAGGTACTGACCTTGCTGCAGAGGAGATGCATCAGATGGATGTTGTGACGGATAGTTCAAGTGGTAAGGCTTGAAATTTTGTTTCGAGTGATTTCAGCATCACTTCACAATATTTTGTTTCGTGGCAAGGTTTTGGTAGCTTCTGCTAACCAAGATTTGTTGCAAGGCTTGTATTCATGGAAGCTTCTATGTGTTGAAAGTGAATATATTGCAAGCAAGTTTTACTCTTAGGTATTATAATTACCATGTGAATCTTCAAAATGTACATTCATATGTTTGAGTGTGGGAGTACTTATTATTTTTTTCTAATAATTTTTCTAGTGCAAGAACATCATGGAGTTGTGGAAAGGAGTAGAAGATTATCTAGTTCCACAATGGCGGTGATTTTCGGTCGAATGAATTTGATCTACTTAGATGCGAGATTTTCTAGTAGCGACATCGTAAAGTTTTAGAGACAACAAAATAAGATGGAAGCACAATGATGCATAGTTTTTGGTATCTAGAAGACATCTATGCATTATATGTTTACAATCTGTCATTTAATGACACTTACAGTAAGCTGTATGTCATAAATGGGTATGTGAGAGACCTAGTGATTACTGTATACTCTGATCTCCTCAGTGTCTAACTCATGTTTACATAAAGCTAGCTCGCATGACATGACAAAGTTGCATCTCAAGTACCAAGATGCGTCTGCTTGGGCTATGGAGAAAGGGCACAATATATTGTATCATGTTGATCCCAATACAAATGTAAATGATATACGGTTACCGGTGTTTCTACATTTAACGCCTTCAACTATCACTTCATATCGTATAAAAGACTATGAATAATTATGAAGTCACTCATTCTCCAACTACACCTAACTCATCTTCACTTTACATATCCTGCAAAATCTCATGAATAAGACAGGTATTCTTCTTCTCTACCTCCACATTTGATTTTTAAAAATCTCTCCCAAATTATTTACGGTTGCTCCTTATGACATGTGGCTCTAACTTGAATCAACTAAGTTCACCTTCTTCATATAGAGATATATCCAACTCCTTGAGCTTCATGAAAATTGGCAAAGCAACAACTCCCACTTTTGTGATAGCTCTAATGTGGAGGAAGTATCTCTCTTTCTTCAAAATCATTAGGAGTGTTGTATGCAATATTAATTTTTTGCCACCTCTTTTAACTTGTTTAGTCATGGATTCCCATAACATCTTTCTGTTTTATTTTCTTATTCATTGCTTTATTTAGCTCAAAATAATTTGATAAAGTAAAATAATAACTGATTTGATTGAGCATTAGTAGTCTCAAAGTACAGAATGTTCATACTTGCAATAAATCCAACATCCTATGCAAATGTAAATAAAAATTTGTGTTTGGATTGCTCATGCTTGAAATCACTCGACAAACCTCCTAAACCTAAACCCTCCTTCACATGCTTTAGATAAGTGCTAGTTGACTTAACATGTATATATATTAGATTTCAAGTTAGTTGAATGACTGCATGCAATGCATTTATGTATACGTTGATATTTTCAAATTATATTGATTGTAGTATACTTTTTAGATCACCTTAACTCACAAGTTTTGCAATAAAACAAATATCTTGACTTAAGTGAGATTTTGATAAAGCATGAGCTTTGGGTTGCTTATGCTTCAAAAGCACTCTATATGATGCAGATGAATTTTTGTTGGTGTATTGTCATTGTTATGGACTTGAATTTAATTATACATATATAATGATGTATATATCAGAATTAAAATGAAGTAGATGATTGTGTGTTTTATTTTAAGAGATTTTAGATAAATGGTTGCATAATCTTTTGTGATATAATTTTATTCAAATGGTATTTGAAGTGCTAATCAATTTAAAAAACATTTACGCTTTCTCCAAAATTCAAGATAAGGTTTTCATCAAGATAAGGTTATTTACATAAGGAGATTAATGCAACATTGACTTCAGCTTATGTGTTTGATCTTACATCTAAGTGTATATCTCATGAGATATCTCAAATAAATATTTTCTTCTCCAAAATTAAATTCGTTACAATCTGAAGCGTTTATCTCGAGGATTAATAGTATGAAATTGACTTAAATTTAATGAGTGAATTTTCATAACATTTCACAAAAAAATTATGAGTATAATATAAGATAAATATTTATTCTAAAATATCAGAAGTGAATATGTTTAATATCATGCACACTTTTTGGATAATAAATGTAAAATGCAGTAGGTTTTTTAAATTATAAATATGTAATGATTTTATTTCAACTGTATTGAAAAAACAGTGGCAAAAGAAGAAGTCAATGTTGCATAAATCTCCTTATGTATGTGTCATTAAGATGTATTTTTTAATGCAGAGTCTACATATTGTAAAATATTCATTCCCAAAACAAGATTTATTTGACTTGAAGATCATTTTTTAGATGAAGAAATGAAATTTTTTTCTAGATTAATGTTTGCCACTCTAAACCCTAAGCCGACCAAATTTTGTAGATTTTTTTAGTTATATGATATATAAATGAAAAATATTGTTTTAGTTTTGAAAATATTTTATGATATATGTTCATTCAAATTTTATGTTTGAATTGTTTTACTTAATTTGAATTTATTGCTTAAAGTAATATCTATCCTAATAATTTTTATTCTTACGGTGAAATAATAATCAATATTTTGAAATTTTTTCATTAAAATTAATTTTGAAATTTAAACATAGTTTTTTCAATTAATTAAAAAAATTTAAATTTTAAATATGATAATATAACTTTCATCTATATCGCATGGTTGCTTTTAGGCTGCAATGAACCGTGCATGATTTCCAATTTATGAGTTAATTTTTGGAAAAGATAAAATTTGAGTATGAAATCGAAATATCATGATAATTTTCACAATTAAACAATATAATATTTGAAAATCCAGATAAGTGCTGATGTTAGACTATTATTCAAGCCCCTATTTGAATGAATGATGGAACCTACCTGTCTAATCAATTTCTATGCAATTATATATCATCAAGTCTGATAAATATTTCACTTTACGAATCACTGTATTTTTCTAATCTAATTGCTCTACTCCATGATCATTTATTCTCACTTTCATCAAGAGGTGGAAAAACTAGGCCATCTATTACTCATTTGACTTATCCAACACCAACCAATCTAGTTTCTCAACTTAATATTTGATATATTTTTCAATATCATGCTGCATTCTGTTGAAAAATTTCAATCTGGTGTACAGTCCGATTCCTTGATAAAATTTATTTTCTTTATCAGACATACATATCTCTAGTCTATAAACTAATTGGAAACAATATTGACATTCTCTTAACTATAACTATAAAAGAACAATATTTATCCAATTTGATGATTTTTCTCCCAAGTACAATTATCCATCTTGAAGAATTTCCTCGTTTTTCGGTATATCTAATCAAATACTTACATTAATACATGCAGGAGAGAAAATTAGAAGATATATGTTTCACTGAAATTAAAAGGTATTGGGATGTGAAGCTTTGGCAAGGTGGCAGCACATCAAAATGTATCATAGCTACAGCCCCCAAATGTACATATTACACGCCAGATGTTCTTCATAACAAATATCCAGTTCATGATACAGTATATATGATCACACCATACCACGGGATGCTCTGAGCTCACCCTACGGTACAAGGGGATATAAAAACTTGCCAAACAATTGCTATATCGAAGCAATTTGTCATTATCTCCATAGCAATCAAAACAATGTTGATGATGAAGTCACTCTGGTTCTCAATCGATTCTTAATTTTCACAGAGCAAAGATGTATCAAAACAGAAATCACCAGCAAAAGAGAACAATGTGACTATGGTGATAAATTGATATACCATATGACTAAGGATGCTAAAGACGTCATCATCGATGACAGTGTCACTCCAGTAAAGAAAGCTCTAATGAAACCACGGTGTCCGAGCTTGAACTGCAGTTTCCTGCCAATCAATAACAATGGCAACCCGAAGCGTTTGAACCCATTTAGATCGATATAGAGAATTTGGCGCATAGTTGTACTTCCATCGTTCTTTGAGCTACATTGGCGCGTCCGATTCGCGCCAGGCTTTGGAAATTTCAGACTTGCCCACACGATGGCGCCCACGAAGAAATTGCAAATATCGCAAGAAGCATTTGACGCTGTTGTTAACGAGAATGTGGAGGAGTTTGGTATGGAAATGGAGGAGGCTCTAGCAGATGCCGTCACCACCTTTCAGTTACAAGGAGTTGATCTTTCTGGTACATATATCTGCCTGCGCTGTCGAAATGCAGAATTGAAAGCAGGACGAGGATGTGAAGACTTACGAGCTTGATTACGCTGTTGTGGGATATTCTAGTACATTTCGATCGATGATGACTGTGGGTGGATTAGCGATTCAAATTCCATTCTTACGTTGTACTCCGCAATGTGGGCTCTTCTGTTATTTTTATATGGAATACTCTAGCTCTGACTACCCAAAGCGCACGATGTATCTTCAGTCCATGACGGGCAAATTAGTGAGTGCAGTTTGCAATGATCGCTTAAATATGTTTTGACGGTGTTCATGGACAGACGGTGAGGACTTTCTTACTTTTCACAAGATTATTACCAACACTAGTGTAGATCCAGACGGCGGAAACATTTTATTCGAATTTTTAAAACTTACGGCAGAAGTTTTCTGTTTGATATTATGTGCTACCTTTGTGGTATTGCAACAGTGGTTCTCAGTTGAATTTTTGTGATTGTTCAGGGATCATAACTGACGGAGGTGGAGGAGCCTCTTTAGAAAGCCACCCGATTATCGAATCCATCAATGCAATACGATCGGCTGTAGCCTCTCTGTGTGGAGAGGACTTAGCAACAACAGCTTCTGTTGTAGAATTTTGTAATAGTTCACAGCCCACAGAAGAAGTTATACCGTCAACCGTAGAATCTTGTATTGTTAAGGGATTAGATACTTTACGAGTTGCCTGCCGTGATGAGAAGACCAACAACGCATCACTTGCAGAAAGGCACGACGCATTGGAAGTGGTTCTTGCTGCTGTGAAGGCATTGACAAGATCTGGCGCTTCTTCGCTGGCGTCAGGTTTAGCAGCCCTTTGTTCCTGCCTCACTGGTAAGATCTAGCTACTCTGCTTTGTGTCAGATTTGGGAGCACCATACCAATAATTTCGTCATGTTGTAAAATGCAACTATAGAGAGAAAAAAAGGCATGGAGAAGACACTTCACAAAAGCAACTACCTAGGATTCTTTAATCAAGTGAAACAGGTTCCGAAGAAAGACAATGAATCAGCAGATATTTGATACTCGAAAGAATACTCAAAATCCCATGTTCGTTTGGCTTTCTGATACGACAGATTACCGCAACATTGTTCCGATAATATGCTGGTAAAATGCAGGTGACAGAAGCAGAGAAAAGTTTCTTCACTGCAATGGTCCTCGAATCGTGTTTGAAGCCCTCTCCGTGGAAGAACTGTCTGCCGAAGTTGTACAACAAGGTGCAGAGGCACTAGCTGCATCAGCACAAAAAAACGAGGACGTTAAGGATGCTTACGTGCATCTGAAGGTGCATGAAGTTCTTGTGCATCAGCTGAGGAAGCATCACAACGATGCTGGTGCCGTACAGGGAGTGTGTGATGCATTACGTTCTTTAGTGACTGCTGATGATGAACGGATTGCTGCTTCTCGGGTACGGTCGTTATTCAATTTTCTGAAAGAGCTAATTGAAGATGTTTGTATCTGCGGTTGCGTTGACTATGCTCAGTGAGTTTGTGAGCGGTAATGATTATTGGAAATGCAGTACCTAAATACGACTTTTACTGTTAGTTTTCTGTGCTTCATGAGGTTGAGAAACAGTCGGTTATCCACTTGAGATGTTAAATCCTTCTCGTTGTACTGTTGACAGACTTTTCAGAATGGCATGTTAATCGCGAAAGCCGGGGCTATGGACACTCTTTTGGATACGGCACATCTGCAAAGCAAGTCCGCTCCGATTCTCGCTTCCCTGTGCTCAGCAATAAAAAATCTGGCTGTCAATGTAAGTAATTTCTATCAGGATTAGTTGTTCACCTGAACTGTAGAGATGAGTATTTGTCTGTCATAGCCTGACTCTAGGGAACTTCATGCTCCCCATTTACTTCTATGCTTTATCCATTGTGACATAACTTTTGGCGTACTTGTCCTTTTGCAGATTGTAGGCTAGAAATAAGTTTCTTGATGTATTTGAGCACTCTTTCTGACAGACTTTGATTTCTATGCTGCTAGCTTTGACGGAGCAATACTGATCCTGAACTTTTATACCTGTGCTCAGGACGAGATCTGCAAGTCTGTGGCCGATAGAGGTGGTCTGAACCTAGTTTCACGATTTCTTACAACTTCTATGGAACAGAATAATAGGGTCATGGCCAGAAGTACTTGCATTCTCTTAATACAAGTGAGTACTGCTGCACCTGGTTTCGTCTGCCGTTCTGTCTGTATCTCTATGACGCTGTGTTTTGAGATATTATACCCGTCAACTTCTGCTAACTATTTTTGTGCTTCTTCATCGAGTTTGTCAGATCATATAGATTTCTTTAGTATTCTTCTCTTATCTTTCTAGAGACCGACTCTCAGTGTGAGGGCGTAAGAGGAAGGAATGCTGGCTCTAAATGTCCCATTCCATTTTAGTTCGATTTGTAACTGGCCGAGCTTATCGGCTTTCAACAACCTTAGTTCGGCAATTTTCGTTTCCAGTGGCTAAATTCGGTGAGCTTCTGTCTGAAATATACTACAACCGAAGCCTGCAATGACTCAAAGTTGGCTCTGTCAATTTCGTAGTTAGCGGGCAGTGATGACAACAAGGATGCCTTCGTGATGCTGGGAGGACTTGATCAACTTGTGAGCCTCATGACTGTTTTCTCCGAAGATCCATCTGTTATCCAAGAGGTACTTTTATAAATAACGTATTTCCTTCATCACTCCGTGTTTTCAGTTCATCAGGTACTCTCATTATAATCGAATGTACTGACACTAGTTTCAAACTATCGCGTGTTAATGCAAGTCGTTTTGTTGGCAGGCGCTGACTGCTATCGCTGTGATTACCTTAAGATCACCTTCAAATGCTAGTCAGGCAATGAAAGCTGGAGTGGTGGATATTACCGCTGAGATGATGGAGAAGCATGTAAAAGTAGCAAATTTGCAACGACAAGCGTGCAAGTTAATTCGGAACCTGGCTGTAAGAAACTTAGAGAACAGGTAAGAATCGTCTTATGATGGCATGATTCGGCTAGTTTGAAAGTTTTACTAATATGTACTGCTCCTGGGCTCATTAGGGACTAGCCTTCGTACGTTAAGTGGCGAGATTGATAAAGCTTTCCTCCCTGCGGACTTTGTTTTGAGTTGGACAAAGTGAGATTCTGTGCATTCATTTTTCAGTTCACCCAGTTTCCAAGCTCGGTGATCTTGTTAGTCTTGGCAAAGAAGAGTTTACGTACTTCTAAGATTCAAACCAAGGAATCAGTTATAGACGTACAATTTAGAGGCGTACTCGTTGCCAGAGCTATCATCAACTTGATCAATGTTTTCCCCATTCTCCAAAGTGTTTACTGAGCTTTATTGCTAAAAAAGAGAAGTCTTACCTGATGGACTGATCTACACTGATTGACTGTGCAGGCCGATTATTTTGGAGAAAGGGTTGGAAAAACTCATCAGACTCGCTAAGACAAACCATGAAGCTTGTGATGATGCAGCTTCTGCTGCTCTAAGGGACCTTGGCTTTGATGATTATAATGTATAGTAACCTTGAAATATGTACTAATGATTCTCCAATCTTGTCAGTTGTAATTTGTTTTCTCTCTTCTTTATCGTATTATTTATGTTTGTTTGGAACATGTAATATATATGCATGTAATCTGGCTACTTTTTCAGTGATTCCAATTATAGGAGTATATCGTGGTTGAGATACTTTGACATACTTTGACATACTTTTGGTTGAGATACTTTGACATACTTTGACATACTTTTGGTTGAGATACTTTGACATGAATTATGTGCAAAAGGTTATATTTTAGGTCTCGTAAGATCCTGGATGCGAAGTAGTTGCAATAGCTGGTTAGTGAGGTCTAAGTATCGATAGCCTTGCCCTCCAAAGGTCCGGTCCTTATCATTGCACACCTGCAGCTTTCAATTTCCTCATCGATTGCCCATCTAGTGTACTTATTTTTGGATGAGAGGTTCCAGTCCGTCAACTTATCTCCGGTCTTTCTTTAAACTCTTGCACTACTTTTCTGTAGTCTGGTCTACAACTGCTTAGTAAGTGGTTTGGGTGGTCGCCTTTTGCGTAAATCTGCAATCTATGTCGGAACTACAATCGATAGTTCGCTAAACACTATGTTTGCAAACTTTTATCTGAAGTCAAGTCAGAGCCGAGTTCGACGACCATCAGAAAAGCTGAGTTTGCCTAAAGGACTCGGGCTATCTCAGATGTCGCTGTTCAGCTGTAAGAGTCATATAATCTCACATTGAATTCCATTTCATACATGCTGAGGGGTGTTGCTTCGAACTGTAGCTACCACTACTACTGTAAGTTTTTACACAGCAGGCAGCGTGGTCATTAGTGGCCATTTTACAGTAATGAGATTGAGAATCTACTGTCACCACAAATTTCTAATATATTGCAAATGATCAAATATTGAAGTTAAGGCTCCTGCAGGTCAGGGTAGACTTGCAATCAGGGCTTCTGCTTAATAATTGAGCAATTGCAGCTGAACCTGGCACCAAACATTTATATTTTGACGCATGATAGGGACAGGAGTAATCTGGATGCTTTAGGCTACTCTTTAACTGAACTGGTTAAAAAAACACACGTATGCCCGAGGGGAGCCACTTGAGCTATTTGCTAGAGTGCGATCAAACTCGCTGCTAGTAAAGAAACACGAGAAGTATTGCATACGCATGAGAGCAAATCTTGACGTTTCCTTCCAAAGATCACGTCTCAACAGTTTTATCGGTTGAGTAGACCAACTTGACACCTGAACTGACTGGATTCAGTAATCATGAAGAGCATACAAGATACCGACGAAAGAATATCAAGTGATGAACAACGCCGAACAATATTACACGCTCTCAAGACACATGTGCATCCGAAATTGAGTGCGTCCTCTCAATCTGGAGCGCAATAGGAACGGAACCTTAACCAGTTTCCCAATACACACGATAACCACATATGCCCGCTGGCATGCAGTGTGCTCGTTGAACGACTCGCACAATGACCAATTACTCGACACATCTCGATTAAGAGATGTCCATGTTGCCTGTTGGAGGGTTTAAGGTGGACTACAACAAACACCTTTTTGGGGCCTGCCGACGCAAGTTCCAACCAGTGTTACGAATAACCAAAACTCCTCCCACTCTACTCGCAGTTGGCTCTCTATTTACAGAAGTTCACGGTACTCAGAAGGATTTTGTTGTGCCAACAGTTGGTTCGCGCATTCCCAATTGTGGACTGGAGTAATAACAGTCGAACATCTAAATGTTCTGGAGTGTCTGAGAATTCAAAAGTTGAGTTCATGTTGCTTGCATGGATGATAAGGAGCTGGCTACTTGGCCACTTGAACAGGGAGCAAGCTATTGGAAGCTATCGGGCTGTACTATTTGTACAGTTCGTTTCTTCAGGCGAGATTTATGGAATTCCAGTCAAGAGCCCCTTGAAGATGTTCAGTGTTCAGTCAACATTGTACCACTGTACCCTGCTATTGAGACCGAGGTCTTTCTATTCACGGATGCTGGTAAAAACGAGTCTTCTTACAGCCGCATCGTGCCCAAAGCTTACGCAAGTCACTGCTATATGAAAGCTGATGATGAAGGAAGAAGTTATGAAGTGCGGTAACTGCTGCCGCACTCGACCAGACCATGTCAGCACCACCAGTTAGATATGGCCGACACTTTAAACAAAACTTGATAGCAGTATGAAGACATCTTGGAGGTGTTCATAGCTGGGTGTTCACTTTCTTAGAGTCTGTCGTAATACTCATAGCTCGGATGGAGTTCTGTGATCATCCTTAAGACGTCTATTGAATTTTTGAGAAGTGTCTCAACCATTTGATCACTCGATATGCATTGCTAATGGATCAGCTCAGGATAAGACAGGATAAGACTTATAACTCGCTCGGTTATATCAGAAGATGTAGGACAACACTATTGGGCCTTTACAATGATTCAAGCCTTGACAAGCATCAGAAGCACTAATTCGAAGAGTTGAAGAGGAAGTACGTTTTCCAGATGGAGTTAAAAGGCAGAATGAACTCAAAAGATGATTAGAGCATGTCTTTCCAAGAACTAGAAGCACCAACGGGAAGGGTTGCTGACTAAACTGGAGAATGCAATTGTCTATAGTGCAGAGCACCTCGTTCTTCGTGCCCTCGAGAACCAGCGTCCACTCGCCAGAGCATGTGCCATGTGCCAATGGGACTTACAGCCTCAGGTCGAGAGTACGGTAGCAAAGGAACCGAGGAGCGAGGTTAAGAGGAGAGAGAGGTGAGCGAGCAACGTGGACCCCTCTTTAATGGGGAGGGAGGCAATAATCCACGCTGGGCCATCGGGTTCTGTGCCCTGAAAACAAAGGCCCGCAGAGCATGTGCGTTGGACTTGCAGCCCTTTTTGGATATTCCGCACCATTGGATGGGTACGGGAAGTTTCTCTTGTGCCCAGTCAAGCGAGAGATGCAGCAAAGTCAGCAATTTCTCCGAACCGAGTTCTCTGAGGCTGGGCAGTGGGACCTGCGCGAGCGGTGTGAGCCTCTCAATAAATATAAACATGTTGCCATATCTGTTTTTTACGGACTGCTCTCTCGAGATCTGGTCCCCGAGGGAGGGCAAAAGCAGCCGAGGCCACGGTGGGAACTCGGGAATCTAGCATCTAGCAGAGTCATCGCCAAATCTAGCCCACAGCTTTGGCCGGGCGGCTTTCTTGCGCCATGGTGGTCTGTGTGGTGCGAGCCCTCTCTGTACATGGAGCTGCAACTGTACGCCCCTTTCAGATCGCTCGTGGACGCTGGGTAAATGTCACGCCATCTACAGATGGGCTTCACAATCAGTTGTAAGGACCGGCCATCATGCATGGAAATTGCTCCTCAGGGGGGTCGACCTCGGAGTCTGAGAAAAGCCTGAAACTCTTGTGGGAGACGGACGACAGATTTGGTCGTCGACCAATTCCAAGTAGAATCTTTTAGTTTAGAGGTTCGAGCAGATGACCGTCGACTTCGTTCCTCGCCCGAGCTATATTGGGCTATACAGTAGAGTACAGTACATTGCATGCCTACAGTAGATGTGATCAGCGGAGGCTAGGCTATGGGTTCGTCCAAGATTCTTCGGCTCTGTTTTCCTGGCACATAGTGTTTCTGTTCAGCTCCTTTTCGATCCCCGTGAGCGTCAAATTCCATTGAAGGAGGCTGTGGCCACCGTCCTCGGTGTAGTTATACGCATCACACAATCACCGATCGTACAGTGGCGGAACATCGAAATGGTCATCGTATGCACTATCGTGGTTTCGGATGTTCTCAAAAGGTGCAAGAGGAGGAGATGATGCCAAAGTCGATTCTCGAACTCAATCTGACTGACAATTTCAGTTCCTGGAACGAGAATTCGTACGACTCCAACTCTCTCAATTCTTGTCCCAGGAACTGCAATTGTCAGGCAGCGCCCTCCTCGCTGCTTCCTGCCTTCCTGCCTTCCTTCCCTCCCTGCCTCCCTCCCGTGCCGATGATGATGAGACGATGTGCCCGCACAGACGCGGAGAATCCTCTAATTTGACGAGCCCCGTGTCTGCCTGCTAGTCGAAAAGAGATCCTACCCTATCTGTCACCTCCTCTATCGCCTGGAAACCGTACGTACAACCAAAAGAGTGGCTGTCGAAGGAATCGTCTCGTTCACAGAGCGTCGTTAGAAGTAAGCTCGTGTTTTCTTCAAAACACATGTTTTAATGGTGTGCTAACAAGGACAAATGTGGCCTCCGCTGAACCGAACCCTACTCAGAATGAGCGCCTCGGCTGGCGATTGCCTTGCAGCTCGCGCGACGGTGTCGTAGCAGCGGACGAATGCGTGCTGTCTTTCGGAGAGACGACGGGGCCGCGAGGCAAGCGGGCAATTGAAGAGGCGAGCGAGCGAGCGAGCGCAGCGGAATGGCGGAGGGCGAGAGGAACGACGGACGCGCGCTGCAGGCCAGCGCGGGGGCGACCACGAACGGCAGCACGGAGCAGCAGCAGCAGCGCAAATGTGGCGGTGAGAAAAATGCGCAGGCGCTGGTGGTCTCGGAGGCCGGCTCGGATTGGACCAAAAGGGATCATGTTGGGAGTCTTTTCCCCGGTATCCCGGATGACATCGCGATTGAGCACATTCTCACGAAAGTGACATGGAAAAGCCTGTGCATGCTGTCGACCGTAAGCCGTGGATGGCGACTGGCTATCCAATCGCGGCAGGTTCACCGAGCCCGAATGCGCAACAACTCGACGCGAACCCTGGTTTCCACCGCGCACCTCCGCAAGGACAACACTGGCTTCGCAATCTCGCTCTACGATCCCGCCGAGTTTCGCTGGCTGCTCCTGCCGCCCATCCCCGACATCCGCGGCGGCATTCCTTACGGCTGCGGCTGCGTGGTGCTCGACGGAAATCTGTACGTGGTAGGTGGACTCGACGACGAGAAACCAAGAATAGACGTGTACAAGCTCGATCTGGCAGCGTGCAAGCGCGTGTGGGAGAAATGCGCCACCATGCGCCAAGGGCGCAGACACTTTCCCTGCGTGGTGAAAGACGATAAGATTTACGTGTTCGAGCCTCGCGTGACATTCTCCGGCGAGGTTTTCGATCCCCAGCGCAATGAGTGGACTGATTTTGGAGACATTTCCGCCCTCGCGTCCCCGCCTGGCCCCTGGAGGATGACTTCCATCGCGGCCACGGTCGACGAGGAGATTTTCGTGCACGCCGAGGAGCTCTATCAGGTATACAATACTTACACTGGCGCATGGCGGCAGGTGCCATACCCTGATTATGCGGACGAGCCATGGCGTCACACTCTGGTGGTGGTCGATGGGCAGCTGTACGATCTGCTGCCTGACTCGGTGCAAGTTTACTCCGTCTCGACGGACTCCTGGACCTGCGTACAACGCATTTCGTACCACTTTGTTGACAACATCTCGATCAGTGCTGCCGTTCCCCTCGATGGCGAGCTGCTGACGCTCTTCACTTGTTTTGCCGATGATGGCGTTTCCGGGGAAAGGCTCGTTTCTGCAGCTTACATCTCCTCGGGTTTCGGCCGTCCTGATTGCAACCTTGTGTGGTCCCGCATATGCAGCCCCTTCCAATATATTATGGGAGGTGACTTCAGTCGCCTCTGCACGATCCAACTTTGAGCGGAGGTTTGATGATCAGCCCTCGAAGGTATTCCCACCACTGTATGCAAACTGTGCACATGCTCGTACCTTCTACAGACATTCAAACTGCAGGCTCTGCCCAGTCCACCTCTGTCTCTGAAAGAAATGCTTCTGTGTAGTTAGGAGGACGATCGACTGCTTTGTTTTCGTTGTCCGTTTGAGCTCTCCTTTTACCTCATTGTCATCCTCCCGGAAAGTGAATCATGTCGGCAGACATTTTTGGTCACAGTCACGAAGAACAGCGTGATTGCCTGCACGGTTGTCTATATGAAACAACATCACAGCAGTCGGGACTTGTATTTTGGGGACACTGGGTACTAATTTTGCTGATTATGAAGGAAAAGGATAGTATATCACCCAAAACGGTTGATGATCAACTGGAGTAGCTGGTTCTCTAACTGTGGGAGGATACAAGGATTAGGTCTCTCCGGCGTTGGACATGCAGCTTTCTTTTGGCACTAGATGTGTTCCTTACTGTTTTCTGAGTGACTCGATAAAATCAAAACCAACCTTGGCGACTACGGCGAAGTTTAGATTGTGTATTCTTCTGTCACTTGACTATATTTTACTCGAAAACAATTAGCTCGCGAGCTGTGTCTTTGTGGCGATTCAGGCTAAGTTTATTCACCGTCCGTTTCGATTAGAATCACGTTGGTTGCTGGAGTGAGGTGACATACGCGGACGTACATGTTCTTCTTTTCTGGAACTATCAGTGATCGGCTTCCAGGAGTGTTCTCCATAACGTGTCAAATGTCCAGTTTCTGTGTCAAATGTTCAGGTTTTTCCCTATCAGCATGTTGGAACTTTAGCGGACCAAGGCTGTTTCATGGGAGACTAGATTCCATTGTTTATCACTCTAGTTCTTACAGAAGTAGTTTATGGTGGGGGGCACGAGGGTAGTTGAAGGTATTGTTTGTGCGAAGATTATTGACTCTGATTTCATTCTTCTTTTGTTTCTGTGTAGACAGCAGCCAGCAAGGATCCATTTGTGTGGTTTGTAGGACTTGAAGAAATCGTGAGCCTAGGGAGTGGGTTTCTTAAGATTCTTCTTCGTGGCCGTTCAAGAGGTATTTCGTGGTAAAGAATTTGTTTCCGTTTTAGGTGAAGGTCAACAAGTAGATTTACATCACTTTCGTTGAGAGGTGAACACAAGTGAACGAGGATCATCGCTCGGAGGATTCCACCACTTTAACTTTTCTGCCAGTTGAATACCATCTCTTTGATCTAACTGTGTTAAATATCATCTCAATTGCATCGCAGGGCTTCTTCACAGCAGCAACGAGCAACCTGATAATGTCCTCGAAGTGTAGTCAATCAATCAATTCAGAGAAGAGGAGTGCGGAGACAGAGCCATCGGGGCGGGGAAGCATGCAATTGACAAGTCTGCAACTTAAGGCATGCGTTGAAAGTTTAGCTGCCAAAAACCTGGAGGATAAAATAGAATTGGGTAGTGCGAGAGGGTGGAGTGTGCATAGGCTTTGTATTTTAGTGGGAATGAATGAAGGAAATTTTACGGAGATCCAAGCTGCTATGTAGCACAAAGTGAACGAAGACAAACTGTACCGACAAAACCGAGAATGAAGAAAGGACCAAAGACGAAGATAAGCCAATGGAGAGAATACCTTTTGATCGGTGGCTCCGCCTGCTGAAGCTGCAGGAAGAACTTGCTCATGCTCTGAGAAAGGGGAAGATCAATTTACTGCCGGATTCTCAAAAGCCGATACGTTACCACGCAGACAAAATATACTCTTAGAAGGTTAGTGAAGAAGCGAAGCGAGGAAGAATGAACAAACGTGATATGACCTCAAAGAAAGGCGTTTCTTCTTGCTCTCCACGAAAACACACCCTCCCAACTAGCCAAGACGGATATGATAAATCCGAAGACATAATCGGTGAATGACAGCCGATAGTTCTGCCTTTTCTCTGGACCAGCTGCCCAAAAGAAGTGACGTGTAGCGAGTGAAAGTATGTCAGTCACGGCAAGAGACAGTGGACAAGATCCTCATTTCACCAAAGATATGTCGTGTGGGGCCACACTTGCAGGCCTCTTCTCGTTCAGTTCTCACCTGCCATTGACACTCATTGCATTGTTTTGCGCCGTTAATCTAGAACCTACAAGTGGCTTATGTTGCCCGTAGATTGCAAGGAATGAGTGATGAGAACGTTGACATCCAGTTGAGGGTTTCATCGGCTCGGAACGCTGTCATCATGCCTTTTTGTGTAACTTAATGGTTGTTTCTCGTAGAAGAGGTATTTTCGAAGATGAGTGGATGCAAATCAACTTTTGCGTATTGAATAAGCAAGAATATGGCATCAGTTGAAAAAATTTATATTCCGTGTTGCAAGAGTACTCACCACGCAATACAGGATCACGTGGTCATGCCACCTCAACGACTGGTGTTGATTCTCTCATTTTGGTGCTTTCCATGGTCGTGTGAGGTACCCAGATGACGAGATCCCACCTCAACCTCCCTTTACTGACGAAGATTCTTACATCTCGTGCTTCAGTTCATAGCTTTATCTCCACCTTCCTTTACCTGCCCTCCAAGCTGTGATGCTCCCAATTTGGCAAGAACGACTTGTAGATCGTAGCCCATCATGAGTGCCGAACGCTTTCTTAGTTAGGGCCCGTGTAAGGTTGTTGTGCACCGAAGATAAGTGACCATCCTCTTGATTTAACACTGAGAAGTAACAAACATTAGTGCAGATTCCGAGAATGAGTATGAGACCACTTGACGAAGTAGGACGTTTTAAGAAATAAATTTCAAGAAGTAATGCACAACTAACTCATTCCTATGTCTTGGATAAATTTTGAAAATCAAAAGTAAGTAAATTTTGATGTGAGTTTTACAGGTCTATAACATCTATTCATTATGTCATTTACAATCATTCAAATATTAAAAATTACAGATATTATAATTTTTTAAAAATTACTTTGAAATAAAAAATTAATATTTGTATGTACTCAAAATCAGTTGCATTGGCTTGAATATTTTATTTGTTCTTGCATTAATTGATGTTAATTGTAGTATCAAGTATGGAATATTGAAGTCTACGATATTTAAATAATTTCAGCACAAAATTTCTAAAATCATGTCAAAAAGATAAAAATTATCTAATATGTGATAAAATATCATAATCTAAAATGAATCAATGTTATTACTTCTTCAGGTATTGACAGAAATTATTAAAAAATTTACTTTTTACATGAATTATTATCTCTAATTTTTATGGTTGTTTAAGATGCATTTTAATATTTTTATTTGCAAAAAATAAATAAAAATTTACTAAATATCATTTAAAAACACTAAAGAAAAACTTTTACAATATTTTATCATCAAAGATTTTGCACATACAAAATAATTATACAGAAAAAAGTATTTTCCATATAAATCTAGATATCATATACAAAGTATCATAATTAAATTTGAAAAAGCTTATGGTGTATATGAAAATAAAAGCTGTATCTAAAATCATATATATGTATAAATTTTTTAAAATATATAATATTTGTAAAAATTTACATAAAAATAAAATAATGTATGCAAGATAAGTTTTGATTTTTGCAATAAACAACCAAATTTTCTTTGCAGATATTTACAAGTGATTGATACATAGATGAAATATAAAAAATGATAAAAAAAAATTAACTGTCATGTTAAATATTATATATTGATCAAAAAATGTTACAAGAAATGCACGCTAAAAAATATGAAACAACTCTACCCAAATAAATGTGGTTTGTCATTTTCAAAGTATATTTACAAGAACAACATATTTTTTATGGATACCTACAAAAGTTTCAATGCGAGCTCTGACTCGACTTCCTCTATATATATATATATATATATATATAAGATATCAAAATCTCTTGTTTGAACACTAATTAGGAATATACCTAAATCTAATTTCAGTTAAGTTATCTAGAGTTTAGCTAGACTTTGACGAACTACTAGGAATTAGTAACTCGTGTTGTGGTAAGAGTTGTTTTCATTATCTAAATAATTATTCCTTGAGAAGTTCTATAACTAGTTAAGGTTTTTGAAGTTCAAAAAAGTTGCTAGCAAACTTTACAAATGCTCCTTGTACCATTCCTATATTATTTACAATATTTCCTGAAAATATTTAAATTAAAAAAAGTTGATTTAATATTTAAAAAAATATAATGAATTTATGAAACAAAAAATTTCATGTGTTTAATGATTCAAATAGAATTTTAAACAATTCTGCTTTAAAAAAGTTATCAATTAATAAATTTTATTAAAATTTGATGTTTTTTTCTTTTTATATAATCTAAAATCAAAAAATATTTTTTGCGTTATATTTTTTTATTTACTTGTTTTAAAAACATTCACATATTTACATTCCTGTTTCAATTTCTAGACATGTAAGTGTAAACATAGATCACTTATGCTTTTTAAATTTTCAAGTCCAATATTGTTTTATGGTTATTTGAATGCAATATTTGATTTCATTTATTATTTCAATATTTTTTCTCAAAACATATATATATAATATCTTAAAAATAAAACGACTCTTGTATTGAATATTGATAAAAAATATTTTTTAATGAAAATTTATCATAATCTTCATAATGCTTCATTGATGAAGAAATATAGTCTCATAAGTTCAATTAATCATCAAATTTGATAAATATAATAAATAAATTTATCACAGTACTAAATTATAATTTATTATTATATTTCAAAATGCATACAAAAATAATTTTTTACATAAATTTTTTGATTTATTAAATTTTTAAATAGATAAGTATAAATTTTTTGTTTAAAAAATATTTGAATATTATTTGAAATTATTTACAAATTATGATTCTGTTTTATACCCAACATTTTAGATACATCTTCTTCATCAATTTAAAATTTTAAAATAACACTTAATATGAGATAGTTTTTTAGTTGATTTTGACAGTATTTAGGATTTTTTTAATGAATAATATATTTTAAAATTATTTAATGAATAAATAAATAAATTATAAAATATTGATAAATCTATAATTATAAAAAAATTCATACATAAAAGAAATATGCACAATTTTCAAAACTCATATAATATTTTGAAGCTTTTTTTTGTATCGATACATAATAAATATATGGTTTAAATACGCATAAGTTTATTACAGTTGAAGATGTGCAAAAACAAAAATTAATCTTAAAGCTTTTTTTAATCATATATACTTATTAATGAAGGTAGAAAAAAGTTAAGATACTAGCCAATTAAGATAAATTTTACTTCTTAGAATTTTATTTAAAAATTCCAGTTTTTCTATTAAAAGTAAAGAATCGTGAAACTGCTAAGTTATATAGAGTAAAAAAATTAAATTACTTTGAATTTATTTTATTTTATTATTCGTTTATTTGAGAGTAATTATTATTAATTTAAATAAATTGAATCTTGTAATTATTGAAAAAAAATTGAGTACATAATGTCCTTTTACAAAACAGCAGTAAAACTGAAGTTAACATCAAGAAAACAAATTTGTTTCCAATCTTTCATACTTTTTTTAGCGCGCTTCCAAATCGATCATGCTTGTTACTTCCTTGACTGAGCTGTTTGGTTCTAATCCCCATATGTGGAAGTTCTTACAACATTGGCAATTAATCTCTTCCTGCCTCTCCTTCCGCTTCCAAAATCAAAGAGATGACAATATCGAGCCTGGATTGAGCTCAAGCTTTAAGATACAACTAATTGACCGCAAGAACAAAACGTATACATATAGTTGAAACATAACTCAATCTTGTTAAATTAAACATAGAAAACTTTTTTAAGTAATTTTTACCGAAATTATGATTCAATTTTAATGATAAAGCTGTATGTATAGAGCTATCAATGGATAGCATAATTGAAAATTTTACACATAAATTAAAACTTTACTTTGCATTTGTATTTGAAAAAGATTTAAAAATTCTGCATTTTCATGCCACATTAGAATTCACAATAATTCTTGTTGTGGAAGGACTGACTATGAGCTTCAATTTGATTCTATTAATTTCTGCTTGATGTCAAATTGATACAAAACTCGTTTGTGCTAATCGATGTCAACTACATCAAAATATATCCTCTACAGGGCAGAACTATTCTTGCATCCAACCAAGCAAATCTCATTATCAATTAGATGCAGATGACAATCTTAAATACTTAAACCTGAGTTGAAATTGCTAGTAAACTCCTTGCTAAAGGTCACCTTATTCTATTTTCAATAATGATATTACCATAAGTCGTAATTTTATCCATGAAAATGCATAGTACTCCACGAAACAAACTTATCTAAAATAATATTTAAACTACAATCAAGATAGTATTGACACATGGTTTTCCAAAAAAATTAAATATCTCACTCGGACAAACCCTATTGTGAGGTAAATTTTTTCAGAACAGAACTAAATAAAAGAAACTGCTTTTGCTAGCCTTGTCTTTGTGATCAGAATCAAAAACAGTTATTTACGTAGGGATCTAGAATTTATCATTTACACAGTAGTTGGATGAATATGTATGACAGCATATTCCTCATCTGCTTTACTTTTGGTTGAGAGTAGTTTATTTAGCATCATTCCTGATTTCACATTTCTCCTCGCCATACTACTCGCCGTAATCCTCACGCTCAGTCTTATGTGTGATCTTAGATGTGTAAAAATTGAAAGATTACCTTCGTTACGATGTAATAAGACCTGAAGTTATTATCAACAAACGTAGGTTTTCTAAATCCGTGCCAAGTTTATAAATCATGCTTTGAATCTATCATCAGTGCGAGATCCAAGGAAAAAAATACCTTTTATATTACCAATAGTGTTTTTGAAAAATTCAAACTTCCAGACAACCTACGTCTATGTTATCTTATTTATCCACAGTAAGCTTGGTATCAAACTTTTCTTCCGGCTTCATTTCTTTTTCCAATATTTACTGTAAGAATATTGATGTAAATATGTTTTAAGTGTAGAAAATATTTTTCAGGTTTTCCCCTGTAATTTAAGAATTTCAAAGTCACTAACAGTGGTTGATCTTCATCGTAGAATGAAGATATCACTTTGGAACCTCCTAAATTCACAGGCTACTTGTCAATACTCTTTTAAAAATGCAGTATGTAACTTACGTATGACGTGTGGTTTGTTTTAAGAAAGCCTCTATTAATGTGCCGCAAATATAATCGTCAGTATTTAGAGAAAGAAAAATTGAAGTTAAACCGAGTAAGCTTAAAAAACACAATATATTCTCGTACAAGCTTTTAGCAACCCGAAGTCCCAAATGAGGGTGAAAATGTTCCTCATGAGAATGACCTCGTTCTGAGTAAGAAAACTTTCGAAAAAATCTATTGAGGGTGAAAATGTTACGTGAAGGAACGTTCAAAACAATATATGATAATTTTATATTTTTAAAGAAGATACAGTGTGTTTTAACCATCGGTACATGCACCTAATGCAGTGTGAATCCCTTGCTGTAACTGTGATTCTTTTACTACAACAAAGAAAAACATCCAACGTGAGCAAAATGGTTGACAAAAGAAACTTCAAAGTCCCTTTCCCCGCATTTCTTGTTTACATTTTCTATGGAAACATTTTCCTCATATGTTTTTTCGGCCAGGAAATACACTGACGTGGTTGAAAACTGTTGGAACGGAGACCCTTTGCCTTTTGAAGATACGCCGATTGTCAAGAGTCTGCGAGGCCCTACGTAATAGCAAGACTTTTACGGTCAAACGGCTACCGTGGTGAGGGTACTGGCGAACCTTGTGTACTGTGCCGGACAATATTGCGAGGCCCGAGATGTGCCCAGTGTAGCAGTGGAAGGGAATTTCTACGAGTGGAACAAGAAGAGTTGTTAGGCGTATGGGATCTTCTACAGTTTTGTAACATCTCATGTCCTTCAAAGTCTAGGAACTCACCATCATCACTACAGATTTGGACTTTGTCTGGATCTTGAACTGTTTTTGGAGTGTGGTGTTGCTCTCGTGCATGTTTTACACACGTCCCCGAAAGATGCTCCTTGGCGCTTATCTAGTCCTCCAACGCCGGTGCTTTGGACTTACTACGTTCTGAATCTCGACTACGGTGGTAATGCTCTGCACAGGATGAGATTCAAGGTTATCAAAGGTGTGTCCGAGTTCGATGCATCCAAATTATGTTGGACGACTTCATCTTGCTTTCTTCCTTGGAAATTCATTTCTAAAGGAACTAGGAAGACCAAAAACAATGGCAAAACCGCCATCCACATCAAGAACGGAACAAAGCAAACGACAAGGATCATCCCCCTAAAAAACTTGGAAAAGACTGAGGACCGCAACAGCCAATCTGATGATTAACATATATTTATTTACATTTCACGTGCATGTATGTGAGTGTAGTTCAAGGAACCACTCTCAATCTTCAAGATCGCTAACATGACGTCAATAACAAAACTCACTTCATATTAAACTCCAAAAGACTACCTATCCAGGCCACCCTCTCAGAGAGACTACCCGATATATATATGTAACTGTTGATCTTGGAGTCAATTTCTTTTTGAATCTAGAAAAAAAAATGTTAAAAAATTTCACAATTAAAGAATTAAATTTCATAAGTACATTTGAGTAACTAAATTATTTACTACAGGTCAAAGTCATGAAACTCAACATTACTTACATATTTTTAATGAACATGTATATCAAAATGCAACATGAATCATAGATATAATCTTGCAAAAAATTTTATATATGTTTTTTCTGAACCAAAATATTTATTGTCTTTCTTATTCATCACTTAAAAAGATTAGCTGGTTCAATATCATCAAATACTTCAGAATCAAATTTTAGAAAAATATCACTTTACAATGATGGAATCAATCTGGTCATAACATGTAAAACATTACATTATATGCTTTACTATGTAAAAAATGCAATAACATAAAATAATAATTGCAATATCAAATATCAAACTTTAACTTCATAATACTATTCTACATTTTCATTGATATTTGTTCCAACAAGAGCATTGCCCTTGATTGTATTTTCTGTATATCATTTTGAACATTACACATACTTATTGAGTAAATTTTGCTGTAAAAGTATGGTATATAGGATTTTAAGATAAAGATTTAGAAATATGTGATGAGTAAGAATTCGGTAAGCTTCTTCGTATACACCGATAAAAATAAACATTCAACATCTATTCGAATATTATACGTATCAATTTTAATTGTTATTATAGTTGGTAAGTTGATTACATGTGATGTAAAAGAATAAAATAAATTTGTTCATTTGAATTCAAGAGATAAATTTTTGGCAATTGGCTTCAACGAACAACAGATATAAATCTTTTTTTTTATCTTTTTATTTTTTAGAAGGTTATTTTGAATTTTTGGAATCTAAAAAAATTTCAAGAGAGAGAAGATAAAATATACATAAAAACGAAAAACTTGTCCTTTAGAATCTCATTATTAAAAAAATCTGAAAACTACTATATTGTGTATCAGTAAGAAAACTTAATCATGGGATATACAAATGTGATTTTTATCTAAGTAATATCATGTTAAATCAACAGGTTTTTAAACATTTATTTTACAGAATTCTACAAAATGTCCAACAAAAACGTAATACAAAAACATGAGACATACTAATGAAAAAACTGTCGATAATATAGTGAGAATTTGAAACTAATTGCTTAATTTTATTTAAATTAAAATCAAAATACCAAACTTATATTTCATCATCAAAGTTATAGAATAATCATTTCGTATAGTGATGTATTTTATGGGATACTTATCATGGATTGAATACATTGAATGTTACTTTCAGATAAATTTGACATGAACATATTAAATTAGTGTCTCGTCACATTATATTTTTTGTTGTAGGTGTATACAATTTACTTTTTGTTTTAAGAATGAAATTCAGTTATTTTATATTCACGTTCATTCAGTTTTTCCATTCAAATCATATCAACAATCATGTCTCATAAAATGAATAAAAGCGCGAGAGATTAATAGGTTAAACATAAAATGACAACATGACAATAACCCAAAACATTTTTTATCGTGATAAAAACCTTAAAGCTGTTAATATTCATTGTATTTTAAACTCATATCACGGCTTGTCATTGTGGATAACAACTTCAAGGAAGATTTATGTAATCATATTTTTTCATCACTTGAACGATAAATTAGCTCGCGAGAACACACGAAGAGATGAAATCAAGGCCAAATGAATATTGGCTTGTGGAAAAGTTGTTAATGATTGTTACAGAAGAGGGATGAGAAGGTTTTATAGAAGTGTACATGGAGGAGATTGAATGATGCGAATCAGCCCAGTATACTTATATTGCATCTTCGGAGTATTATATTCATGAGTGAAACAGTTTCCGCTCAAGCATGAAGAAAGCATTTTGCGACTGGATTGCGTTGATTTGATGGTATCTGCAGAGACTACTATGTAAGGACCGAAATTGTGGTTAAACCAGATCCACGAAAGATCCAACTGAAAGTGCACAGTCATCGGTTATAGTCTTGCTGAACCGAATAGTCCATACGTCACATCTGTGCCCTGACTCCCGAGGTCACTGCGGGTATGCTTACGTCAGCGCTATTCGTATGAGAATAGTCTTTTGTCCTCTGGTGTAACAATGCATGGATTACTGGGACTTTCCAGGTTCAATGGACTGCGACAACCCAGCTACCTGGGGTTGAAATTCGAGGTGGCCAGGGGGGATCTGAGCTCACAACCTCATCCAGGAGTGAGTGCTGAAGTCAATGCAGTAGTTCTGAAAGTACTTCACACGAGCTCCGCTTCTTCTCAACTTCAGTTCGACGCACATTGAGAGAGTGCGATAGAAGCTTACCATAACATGGTGACACCATCCTGACAAAGGCGTTTATAAAACTTGCAGTAGACAAGAGCAAATGTGTGGAGTGAATGCAGAGTCGAATCGCACAACAGTCCGAGGAGACCATAGGCTGCAGTAGATGCAAGTCTATCGTCTGAATACTTCTTGACAGGCAGAGAATTTACTACTGATAAACTACACCTCAGCTGGTTTTGGCCACCGATCCAATGAAACAAGTTTTCGTCACTCGCTGGAAATCGGCCAAGAATTTCTCTCAACTGTTTTCGGAAATATGTCCATTAAAACTTTCTTAGCCATAGCTAGAATGTCGCAAGACTGAACATGAAATTCGATCCACGTGTTAAGTTTGGAATGAACTTCGCAGGGAAGAACGAGCCAGCTGCATTGAGCATAAATTCAAATTTAGAAGCTCCCGAAACTGGTCTCATATTCTTAAAAAGTGTGTGATACAGAAAACCTTAAATCCATTAACTTAATCTACAAAGAGGATCCTGTCCGAATCCTCTGAATTCTGCAGATGCTGAATAGCTTAGATGGTTCAAACCCTTTCCTGCAGGTATGCTCGTACTTTGGAGTTCCAAAGTCTTTGATTATTGGTCTCACTTCCCACCCGTTCGAGACTTCAAAGGAATCCTTGGAGTCCTAGCTTCCACAGCAGGGTTATAGCCCGTAACACCCGGCTTTGAAGCGGTTCCTGTGCACAGAAGTCAAATCCCACATACGTAAGAGACAAAAAATAGTTTGGTGCGACAATGTGACATCCCACTCCATAAACTTCCCCGTTTACTTCAATTGGTCTTCACAGTTGGTAACTCGAGACGTGTCAAGCGTCACAAATGTGGAACAGCTGACGACAGATAAGTATCAAGACCATCACCAAAGTACGACAGAGCCAAGCGCGGGAGGCAGAATAACTGTCCAGTTTACTTCACTCAACACTGCACAAGATGCATGGCTTCAACATTCTTCAAGACACAGAGAGAGAGAGCTTAGCTGGATCGATATTACTCAAAGAGCTTATGAAATTCGGTCAGTTCCATACCCTTGTTGAAGGTCTTCCGGGAATTCTCAGGGTCAGCGGCATTGGAAAAGGTCGACGCCATCCATTCAGCTTCCGATGCTTGACTTAAAGCTTCTCTGTCTCGATAAAGCCATCGACCATCTTCCTTGACAAATACGCTCTTCTCTTTCAGATACTTCCTCTCGCCTCTACCACCTTTCAAAATTGAGTATGTAACTATGAATGACACATTCGCCTCAGTCTCTGAAACTTCCTGGGACTCTAGAATTTCCAATTTCAGAAACCTCAGTCTTTCACAGGTCGCTTTCACGTCGGCTGCAAAATCCTGAACGCCTTCGAAGTCGGGATTCTTTGGATGCGTTGTCTTAACGACGTAAGGAACTACTCCTAGAGAATAAGCAGTAAAGCGAGCTTTCATCAGGGTCGCTGCGTCAGGCTCGACTACACCTCCATGGTATCGAGCACAACATTCAGGGTAGAGCTTAGATTCTTCTCCTCCTCCGCATGGACACACATTTGTCGCCGCATCTCCAGATCCCTTCTCGGGTTTCCCAAAGCTCTTCTTAGTCTTCTGAACAACCTTTCCAAAACCCTTAGCTTCAGCAGAAACCCTCAACCGAGACTGCTGTGATAAGCTGCTTGATCTGCTGTTAGCTAGCAATGAACCCGAAAACGACGATAGAGAGCTCGAGCTTCCTGTGCAGAATCCTGACGCAACATGTGACAATTCTTGTGAGATCAGTGGACAAGACTTCAAGCCAGAAGCTAACATCGTCGCCATTGTACTAATCCGTAACACAACTCACCCGAAGGATGACGAAGGAACCATATTCGATGCAGCTCATCCCACTGCGCCCAACTGTCACTCTATCTACTTCCCATACGTCCTAAGCAGGGAAAAGCAAGGATTCCAGGAAACCCCTATCCGCCACTAGGCTTCGCGCGCAGCTTTCTGAGACAATGGATCACGTCGAAAGTAGCTCGAGAAACTACCAATGGTAAACACCCGACAGCAGAGAGTGAATGTCAAATTCACGGTCAGGATTTTCTAATGAGATATAGATCGGCCGTGAAGATCGATTTCTGGTCGTAATCTAGAGGACATTCATAGTGGGCTTCGCTTTTCTAGCTGACATTCCTCCAACGGTCAGTTAAAGATTACGTACTAGAATGCAAATATTGGGTTCCAGGTTAGTAAGATAGAAGGCGAAAAGGTAAAATGAAAATTGGTAATGCCCCATTCAAGTTCTAAGTGGATAAAAGGGGTAACACAGGTCTAGGACCCACTACCATCGCTAGATAATATGAGGGATGATATGTCCTATAGACCCAATAGTATTTACAAGTAATCTATAGGGTGATATGTCACCTTACATTTGTGTACTATATAACTAATAGATTAGATGGAGATTCCTGTAAATCATCATCGGACATGATTTATTCTCATTTGAATCCCATCTATAGTTCTTTTCCCGAAAATTTGTATTCGTAAAGAGAATACTAACACTTTCACATATTTCGACAATCTCTTGAGTCTTATAAAAAATATATAAAAGTGTATCCCGATAAATCTCAAGTTGTTGAATCTAAGAATTTACATGTATGCGTACACCTTAGTTGCTCTCCCCCCATTGTCTAAGATAGTTAATTCTTCTTCAATTTAATGTCACATGTAAATTCGCAATATCAATATAGTACTCAATGACCTAATTCATATCTTCACTGACCACAGACCATTTCAAAATGTACCAATAGTCATGTGTGTGTGAGAGAGGTATAGAGACTCTGGTAGATGGTTGCACCAGCCCAATGCGAAAACTAGTAGATATAAACATGATTATATATCATGAGAGTGAGTAGTCCTAAGCTGTAAATATCATACATGAAAGTAAAGTCGAAATTATAATGAGCAGAGATGTGTATATCTGAATATGAATTTAAATGCGAAGCCACATCAGGTTGGACCTCACCCATACCGTCACAGGTAATCTCACTCCTGTAGCTTCGGGGTCACTAGCCGCAAGGCAGCCTTCGCCTCTGTGCTGCTCTCGAGGAACCGTCGCAGCTCTGAGCCCTACACTGAAATCCGATGAATCGGATCCACTTGAAAAGTACGTTGGAGTTTAGGGCAGGGTCTGAAGGAAATTTGACCAGTGCTTTCCCAAAAGCCTGACAGTCCACTCCCGCCACCTTATTGTTTTGTCTTATCGTCAAATTGTTTAACAGCTATTGACGTAAATATCGCAAGGTTCACTATATTATGTCGAGAGATCTTACAACACTATTTGAAAAGGCCATTATTGCTCAATACTAGCAAACAAATTATTTCTGAACCGCAAACTTCCTGCTTAAGATTTTTTTCCCCACTCAATGCAACCTGGAGTGAATAATAATGTTCCACTACCATGCTAAATATAAGTTAATCAATGAATGACTCCTACCTATCAACGCACATGTGAGGTGTTTTGAGCCAAAATGTTCCTCCAATTGAAGTATACATCAATATTATATTAGAAAGAAAATGTTGAAAAAGTAAAAATCCGATGTCAAGTACCTATCATACACCAAGCACAAAAAAAAAAGGAACAAGATGGGAAGACCCCAAACCCTACATGTAAAGACCAATAAGGAAATATGGGGCTAGCCCCAATATCATTGTAACAAAAAATATGTCACATGATCTGTACACATTTTTTTAACTTGAAATCATCATTTTACATGATTTGCATACGATGGATTGCACTCATTACTACTTTTAGTGATTGAATCTGACTAAATTACATAAATGATGTTGTAAAATAATTTAATATAATGGAACCAAAATATTATGTTAAACTCTTGTGGATTCTCTAATAACATGTAGGTTATAATGTTGAAATTTGTTTTACTTCTCAGCACCGTTAGTCGTGGGTTTCTTCAATCTATGATACAATAACAAAATTCATGATAAACCAACTATACAACGAAGAAAAGCACAAGTCCCACCTTCAGATTAGGTTTGACGGGGAATTTCATACTGAACAAGTTTGAGGCGAAATCAATATCCAGTATGAGAAGCTGTAAAAGTAATATGATTGCCAGTATGTAAGCATATCTGCACCGCAGCTATAAAAGACCCATCTGGAGTCGAGTGAGACTTTCGTAGATAGTAGTTACGGATGTCTTACCATGTAAATATGAGTAATATATCGTCGGATTTTAATCAAAACTCTGTCGATATTCTTCGAATTTCAGAGAAGGGGGATCTTAGAATATTATCTTCTAAGATATATCGTCAGACTAGGAAAATATGTTTTCTGTAGGGTCAACAATACGCCAAGGAAAGTGTTCAGGAAAGTAGATACAACGAACAGATACAAGGAAAAAGTGATGACTGTATGTGACAGTATATGACTCATGAATAAAGCATGAAACACTTTACAAACTGGACTTACTTAACTCGAAATTAATAACCTCCTCCGTGATTCCCGCAACTTGCGAATTTACTCTGTTTGTGCTCTGATTATGTACCACTCAATAGTCTGTAACTCTCTCACCACAGAAAAAAATTGCGAGCCCACAATTCTTTTTTAGGCTGCTTCGTGCTTATAATTGTCTAAGTTTCTGCGCTGATCCTTATCGACCTCTGCTTTGCTTGTGGATGATAAACTCCGCCGTACCTTTTCGATCCGAATTGTTTTACGATGGTCTCGGTCCGACGAGAAGCCTAACGTAGAGAGGAGAACGATCGTATCCGGGTGGAAAATCGTTCTCTACTGACTACAACTCATACGTATACGTGATCCGGGTCCATACATCATTCCGAGATCTGTGTACGATCGCCTCGGGCTGGCTTAATCCGGAAGGTCTCGCTAACTAAAGCGAACTGCGGAGCGGAGGAGGAGTGCTCGGGTGGTTGCGAGGAAAAGCATAAAATAATGCGAGGAAAGCGAAGCAGCTCGATGTGGTTGGTCAAACTTTACGATGCCGGAATATTATCAGCGCCGATAATGAAGAATACTGCGGTCCAGAAAATGAGGTGGATAAAGAGGCGCAGCAGTACGACGAACACCTTTCCGAGACTCGTGCGAATCACCTCTGGCCTCCGGGGCGAGAAAAGAAGGCGCAAAACGACAATCGGGCGTCAATGGACGAGGCGTGTAAACGCGGGCGATTCAAACCCGGCGGGCCCGCCCGCCCGCCCACTCCCCCGGTGGGAATCGCAGGAGTTCGAGCCGGCTGCCCGCGCTGCCCGTCCGCCCGCGGGGAGGAGGGGAGGACGGGAGGAGTGGAGGAGGGCTGCCCCGGTCAGCGAGCGAGACCCACCGCGGCGAAGGACCGGTGTCCGGGAGGGGAAGGAGAAGGGGAAGGGGAAGCGGAGCGGGAGAAAGCGAAGCACAGGAGCGGCAAGAAGAAGAAGAGGAGCAAGAGGAGGAGGAGGAGGAGACGGAGGAGGACGAGGAGCAAGAAGAGGCGTCCGCGTCCGTCTGTTGTTTGTCTGCCTGTGCCCGCCTGCCTGCGCGTGTCCGTAGAAAGCTGGGCATTTCTTTGTCGACCACAATCTTGTTTTTCGGGGTGGAGGGGAGGGGAGGGGAGGGGGGGGGAGTGGAGTGGCGTGGCGAGGGAGGCGTTCGCTGGGTTCCGGTGGTCGAAGGCGGAGACGAAGACCTAGGGGGGAGGGAGCGGGTGGGAGAAGGGAGGAGGGAAGGAGGGAGGGAGGGAGGGATGGAGGCCGAGGGAGCAATGGAAGAGAGAGGGAGAGAGTCGGTTGCGGGAACGCAGAGCTATAGACGGCTGCGAAAGCTCAGAGGAGGGCGATCATTTATCAGGAGCAGGGAATAGGAGGCTATAGCGGAGGAGCGAGGACGACTTTTGGTTGTGGCGGTAACAGGTTGCTCGGTTGCACGGAGCTCGATCGAGGCGAGGATAGACGCCGAGGACTGGAGCGGCGGTGTTCGGCTCGCAATCGGCAGTGTGAACAGCTCGACGGGCGCCGGGAGCGCGAAGCAGGCGAGGCGAGGCGAGGGTGGAAGAGCGAGCGAGCGGGCGGGCCGTCGAGGGAGAATAGGATTTGGAGTATCGTGAAGTGATCAGGTGCGCAGGTTCTGGAGGCAGCCGGCGATTGTCAGATCTTGGAGCGCGTCGTCGAAGCGGGGCGGGGGATGCGTCGTTGCTCGCGGGCTCGCGGGTGTTGGTCGCGGCGGAGGCGGTGCTGAGGAAGATGCCGGGAGAAGTAGGTCGGGCTATAGAGACTGTAGTTGCGGTGGTCGTCCTGAGCCGCTTTTGTTGTGGTTTCGGCGAGTGAGTATGCGCAGATCGTCCTGGTGGTCGACAGCCGAACGTCATGGGGATTCTCTGTGAACCTCGTTGTATCTTGCCTTTCTCCAAGCTCCTATAGAGCCCGTCTCGATGAACGGTGTGTGTCTGGCGGGTGTCAGTGCGTGAGCGGTGTCGCGCTCAACATTGTAGCTGTAGGGAGTAGGCTATCAGACTGGCTGCTTGCGAGGCGAAATGATCTCTGTGAAGAGACTATGCGACAATACGGGTAATCAGTTCTACTTGGTCGAGTCTCGTCTGCCAGACGGGAAGCTTCAGTGCATCACTCGATCCTATAAGTTTAGGTGTAATGCCCGCGGGTTTGAAGACGCCGACGCTCGAGCGAAGGCTCTCAGGTTCGCCATCACCACCGATACTCTGGTTCAGTTTCGAGCTTTCATCTTCAGCGAACAGGATGCTGCGTCAGCGCTTGGAAGAACGGAGGGATGTGCTTTGTCGGGGTCTCCCAGATTAGATGCGTTTTTGGCTCTTGGATCGTCTCCTGAGAGTGTGAGGCGGAGAGGAATTAGATCTTACATTTGCATGCGACAGAATCGCTTGACAGGACTGCGGTTCGTGGTGGCTATGTCCCGGCTCGAGAACGGTCGCCTGCGTGCGGTTTCTTTCCAGGACCATAGCTTAGTAGGAGGAGGTATACCAGATGAAGCGTACGAAGCCTTGAACAAGGCGGTGCGGTTCCTGCGAGGTGTGGCTTTCGAGAGCTGGCGCAAGCAGAACGTGAACGACTTGACGAGCAGGAATCGGGAGACTTTCGGCCATCGGAGGGAGCGCGCCCTCAAGCACGTTAGCGCTTTCGTGGAGATTGAAACGGGAGAGAAAGTCGATTGCGCGTGTGGGAAGAACCGCAGCCGAGGGCTCATGGTGGCTTGTGAGCGCTGTGGGGCGTGGGAACACGCGGAATGCCAGGGATTCCGGTCTGATAAGCAGGTGTAATCTCTTTCCAGACCTCCTGTAGTCATATATTCTCCAGCCTGCTCTCTCTGGCAGTACTCTATTCGGATGAACGTTTACTGTTCATACAGGTGCAAAGCCAAAGTGGCAGCGAGGATTCTGTTTGATTTCTGCAGGGTCGCAGTGGAGTCATACTCTATCAAACTTTTTCTCTCTTAATCGGCCTTGGTGCTCTTCTCACGATGTGTTCGTGGCGAGACTCCTGTAACATCAATGAGTTATATTACCTTGATCTTGCTGCAAGAAGATACACTGCTTGTGATTGTTTGAACTACGCAGTCGAGACTTACAGACTAACTCTGGACTATGTAAGCGTACTCGGAGGAAAAGCACAAATTGACTTTCAAGCTCTCTCTTAGCGAACTTGCGGACGTACAAAGTTGTGGGTCGGTGTTGTAGTAACAGGACATGCAACTGATATTAAGTCGTCTCCAGGAGCTCAGGAAAACTACAGCTGGTCTCGTTGTAGCTAGAAAGGAAATGCAGGAACTTTTTTCTGGACAGGAAGGAGCGGGATACACGTTTGGACTCGACGCGCAGGTGCGGTGGAAGATATGGAGATATTTGAGCGGCGGTGATCGCAGCGAGGATGAGAGGAGAACAGACTTTAAAGAAAACCTTGTGAACTATGTGGGTGGGTTGATCATTAAAGCTTGCAAGCTCAACCTATTTTTGTTTCTATGTTGCAGATACCTGCGGATTACATATGCTCGGCATGTATGAGGGCGGACAGGGAGGATGTGGTTGTCATCAGGTTGGATGAACAGGTTAGTCTCAGGAATCTACGAGAGCTTCAGACTTGAAGCGCGGTCTTGTTTAACAGGGAATTGATGGAATTTCACAGGGTTACAGGGACAGGATATGCTCTGGTCTGCCAGGGACTCCGTAGGTAGAGATTTCTTTGCACACAGGAGCTGGATAAGTGAAGGATTACGTACTAGAGTTGTAAACAGTGACGAGCTGGAGAAAGGACTGTCGCTGTTTTGTCTTTTGCTTGGCAAGTAGTACAGGGAAATGTCAGATTGAGGAAGTGATGCAGGGATGGATTACGTCTTTGGGCCTTTAAGGCAGGGCAAGATCTAGCCATCGTATGTAACTTCTCGGTCCTCAGCCTCCTATTGGTTTAGGTTGATGCGACAGACACTGTATGGTGCCAGCTGCCTGGCTTGGAGTCAAAAGGAGTTGCATAGACCTTTTTAAGGATGAAAACCCGGCAGCCTCAAGGTAATGGCCTCCAGATGCAGTCACTGGCGGGCTATTATCTGCTTATGGCAAAAGCTTCGTAGAGAAAGTGAGTGAAACAGTAGGGTTCTGGGGGAGTATGCAGTCGTGAGTGATATACTTGGCTGAGTATCTTGCTGGTTTTGCCATGCCCAGGGAGAATGCGGGAATTTGCAACTGGAAGATCTGTGGACGGATGCTAAAATAAGAGATAGAGAAGGAGTTGAACGAGTGTGCTGTGTATGTGGCTGCGAAGACAATCAAGATTTTGAACCGATGGTATGCACAACAGTCCCCACGCCGAATACAAAATCTTAGGTGCCGGAAGTCCACTAATTTTCGGTCGTCTTTCGGGGTTTTCCACAATTGTCATATGCTGACGTTTCAGCTTCTTATTGTCGTGCAGATCCATCCTGTGACAGAGCATGCGTGTGAAGATGGTGAAGCTTTCGCACATCCGGCCTGTGTCTCTGCGGCTCAACACCTTTCGAATAAAGCCTGGACTAGACAGGCAACGCTAGCTGGATTGTGTCAAATTTGCGGCGAGAGATTTCTCAAATCACCGAAGGACGAGCTTCTCACAAGCTCTGGAGTCAGTTCGGTCAAAACGTCACTTGGCTCTACATCTCCCAATACATCGTCTCAAGCGCGCAGCTCTAGAAGAGCTGCCAAGACGGATCAGACCAGTCGTAAGCGCCTGCGCAGCGCGCTGACAAATGGTGGAGTTGTAGCCAAAGCAGATGTTGAGAAGCGTCCTTTTAAGAATGTTAAGGAGGAGGAGAGCGACGGTCACCCCTCGCAAAGTGGAGACAAGACAGACTCTGCGGGAGTGGAAGCAAATAAGGTGGATATCTTGACTATCTCGACATAGAAATAATATACTTGTCTTCTATTGCTGTATCAGGGATGCGGTCATGAATGTTCGATATTTGAGAGTTGTGTCAATCGGGAGTTGTAAATGCATAAACTGAAGTTCAAACGTCATTTAGGTGGAGGTCGTGCTACTTTCTTATAGATTAATGCTGAGATTCTTGTGTTGTAGTTTCTTGCCATTTATCTGGCTGCATCTAAGCACGTGGCTTCTTGCTATCTGTCTACTGTTGTATTTTTTTCGGATTTTTTTATTGCTTCCAGTACTTAGTGTAGATCTGCTAAGAGTCGTTAAGATTGTTATGTAAAAAAAAAGGAGGATACTTATGATCACGGTGGTACAAAAGCCTCCTTTTTTACCACTCGTTCTTGTTTTCCATGTCCACAACGATAATTGTTATTACTGACCTTGAAGTTTCTCCCTGGCCTTTGGAAAATAACGTTTGACGCCACGGTATTTTCATACATTTCTTCGTTTTTTGTTCATTAGATCTGAGAGTATCACCTACATGTAAGTTGTCAGTGATAAACATTAACCAGAGTTACCGATTTTTCTTTCACTAACCATAATAACCCAGTTGGGCTTTTGATTGTTATTCTAAGTGAACTAGTTGGTTTCTATTGTGTTATGACTCAACCGACCAAAAGATCCTAGACCTGGGATCTTTCGTGGCTTAGAAGCTATCGCGCTATCCACCCATACTCTCTTTTTTGGTGTCGGCATCCTGATCTTTCCAGTTTTTTGAACAAAGTTAGAAGGATGAGTATGAAAGGTTGCTGTATGTACATGTTCTGGTTTTGCGAAGCGGAAGCTGATGCGCAACGACTATGAATGTGTCCATGGTCATGCCCTGTTACTTTCTTTCTGTCCTGAATCATGTTCCATTCTTATTTAAATGAGGTTTTATGTTAAGTGCCACTCGCTTTTTGTACATAACCTTGACTGCTTTGGTCTTGATTAAGGAGTTTGATCCTGCTCTCTTGCAGGAAGTCTATGTTCTTTACAAATGGATGAATATTCGAAGCGCTATGCTATCCTGGAATGTCTTGATATAGTCGTAACAAACTTAGTGATAGTCTCGCTGCAAATGATTGAGTCTTTTCATCGATAGCATCTTATGATCAACGTGGCGTTCCTATCATCACAAATGCATGAGAATTTCAGTGATTGTCGATCAATCTGAGAACTCTTGCAAAAGATAAGTAAGTAAAGTACTCAGGCACTTTATTCTACTCTGTTGGATCCATATGACGGTGGACATGTGGATCCAACAGAGCAGAATGAACTGGGCGGAAAAGCAAGAGTTGTCTCACATAATATCGTAGTAACGGTAGAAAAGCCAGAAAGACCTGTGACACTCTTTTGTCTTTTTGACAGGTTGGTACCACATTATTTGGGCGACGCTTTAATGATGCAGCGGTTACCGTTCCCATAAAGAAACGAAAATTTCAAATGTTGGAAGTACCTCGATCTCCGTCACCGCCTCCAAAATCGCCTTCACCATCTCCCCAAGTGGACATAGTCGCACCCAAAGGAGAGCAGTCTGATCAAACAGTTTTGAGTTCCAAAGGTGAGGTAGGTCAGTGCTCAGAGGATGCAGAAATGTTGGAAGGTGGATCGTTAGACACTGAAGCTGTTACAGGTGCTGGAGCGCACGCAGTGTTCAGCGTACTTGAGAGCAAGGGAGACAGTGGGATGACTATCTCTGGCAGGAAGCTTGTTTACCCGCTGTCAGATGCCAGTGACTTGGTGGCACGTCACGACAGTGAAATTTCTGGTGCTACCAGTGAAGTCATACCATTTGAGAAAGGTGCGGGGTCCTCAAAGAAGGGGTCAGACTCTTCTTTAACGAGAAGATCAACGGCAACTCAGAGTAGGGTAAGCTTGAATGTAAGTGACACAGCTCGCGGATCCGAAGAGTCGAGATACAGCAGAGCAGGACAACAGGACGATCATCACCCGGGCAAGGGAAGAGTGAAGTCCGGCGAGAAGTCAAAGCTTTCTGAAAACGGTAGGCCGACGGAACATGAGAATGTTCCGTCGTCACATGGCCAGCAGAGTCGTCCTTTGGATATTATCCAGCACGATACGCTTCATGTGCCACCTAGAAGAATTCCGAATGTGACTGTAGGTAAAGAGGCACTGAAAGAATCTTCTGTGCACGCAAGTGCCGGGGCCATTTCCCCAGACTTCCATCAGTCAGGGGGGCTGCATGCATCAACAAGTAACCGCAGTCCTGTCACAACCGATGACGTGAGAGAATTTCAAGGAAGGCACTTAGTCGACGATGCATCTAGGAGTAGTGATTTAGCAAGCAGCGTCCCTACACAAGCAATCAGTGTTCTAGAACGGGACTTCCACAGCGATGAGAAGCGTGAAAGAGAAGTCAGTACGGAGAGGGAGATGCATCATGACAACGTTCACTCAGGTGATGCAGACGTGAAAGATGTGGCTAGGTCATCGAGTGCAAGCCAAGGACCTTCGCGGGACGCTAGGCTGCATTGGGATCTGAACATGGATATGGAGGAGTGGGAGAGGCCGCCTGAAGAGGATACGGGTACCTTTACGGGCTTGGGTGTTGGAGCACAAGCTAGCACTTCTAATGATACCAATGTAGAACGTGTTCATAAAGTCGTTGCAGATGATTCAAGACTGGATGTTTCTCTGGCTCTGCCTGAGTGTGCCAAAGTTAATGCTGAAGTCGTTCTGGAGGAGCTGAGTAACGAGGAGGGTCAGGCAGTAGAGGTTACACACTTTGAGGGTGAGTGTGATGTCTCGTCTAATGACGCAGGGGGTGTTGAAGTAAAGTGCCTTGCTGAGGAATCTGACGCCATAGATTCCGGGATTGAAAATCTCTCTGCAGAAAGGGTTTCGGATCAGCATGCACCAAGCGTAATTGGAGTAGAGGCGGTTGAGGTAGAATCAAAGGCTGCAAATTTGCCCGTTGGAGGGGAAGAGAGCAGTCCAAAGAAGCAGGATGATAGTAAAGACGTCGTAGGCTCCGACCATCATGTATTATCTGCAGATGATGACAGAACCGGAGGTGAACAAAAGGATGAAATTGTGTTCCTCAAAAGTGCAGTAGAATCAGATGTGAAAGATGATGTAGTTCTTAAGTTGGATTTCGAACATGAGGGGAAAGTTGTGGCAGAACTGGTATTAGAGTACATTCCGCCTACCGAAGGTCAGTGTAGTGCCAGCACCAGTGCTGTGGAAGTCGGTGGCAAGTCTTCAAGTGACGCTGACTTTTCTGGGAAGTCTGAGGCCAAAAATGTGAAGGCTTCTCCCGAAGAATCACTTCAGGCGACTGTCAAGTCTTTGGATGACGTTGTTAACGACGAAAGCAATGTTCACAGTGCGGACAATTATGATTTTGTCGAGTATGATGGTTCTGACTACGAAGCAGAAAGGGCGTCTGATGCCGAGAAAGCTGTCCCGGACAAGACGATGGAGGAACCCCAAATGGCAGAATTTGCACAAGCTGAAAGTCCGCGTGAATGGAATGAAGGCCATATCGAAGAGATGGAGGCTGAACACGTTGACTATGACGACTCTGCTGATTCTAGAGACGGAGAAGAACTTGGTTCAGATGCAGATGAACGTGCGGACGGGGAGTGGAGAGGTAGCGTTGGAACTCGTCATCAAGGTGAAGTAGAAGGTCCGATTAAAGCCGAAAGGAATGGAGATTCAAGTCCTACCCATGTCGAGAAAGGTGCTCACGGGGAAGTGAGTAAGCCTGCCCTTGCCTTCCAGGATGACAAACAGCTGGATGTAGAGAAGGCATCGACCAAAGGTTCTGATGTGGAATGCTTACCCACGGAAACGAAGAGCGTCGCTGGAGGCCAGAGTGATGAAAGCAGAGAACCTGAGGATGGTCCTTCTCTAGAGAGGCACGGAGGCGACGACAAAGCTGCCCACAGGGAGAATGCGGATGTCAAATTCGTAGAGAATGCACATACGAGGGAAGAAAAGCGTTTGCACGAGGACAAGGACCTTTCTGCTATTGCAGTAAGACGAGGTGATGGTCAAAGCAGGACTAAATCATCTGGTTGGGATCAGTTACCTGAGGGCTTTGACAACCCTGATGATGCCTTGCGGGCAGCAAAAGGGAATCCAGTTGTCCGAACTGGTCGCGGTAGTCCTTGGGGAAGTACTAACGGAAGAGGTGCCAGCATAAGCCCGCGAGGGGGTCCAGTCACCAGTCGATTTGGAAGGGGCTTGCGCACGGATAGCATTGGGGACAGAGCAAGGTCTGAAGACTCTTGGACCAGGGATGATCATCAGCATGGATTAAGGTATTCTTTGAAATTAGTGTATCTTTTTAGGCTTTCAACTCTAGTCTGAAGCTTATGAAATCGACTGTATGAAATTTTGGAGCTTCACGCTGTCTCTTATATCGTTCTTTTGGTTTTATTTGGAGTAGAAGCAGAAAGTGAGAACGAGAGTTTCCTGGATGTGGATCCGTTATGCATCATGTGTCCAAGTACAAACTCATGACTGCCTTGCCATCACAGTCTCATCTTTCTTTGTACTAAGTAGTTACGCAACCGTGCGCTATATTTGCAGGGGTGATGACACCCTTGATATCAGTCCCAGACTCGCTTCACCGAGAGAGCTTGGACGGGGTAGAACACATGGAAGAGGAGGCTCACCTGTGGTTCGTGCGAGAGGCCGAATGGAACCTTGGATGGACAGCCCGAGCGGTCCCACAAGTCCATGGGGCCCCAATCGACATCCTTCTCCGCCAGGTCGCTACAATGACGCGGTTGGCTTCGGTCCTCGTGGTCCTACGAATGCCGCTGCAGTAGCTGCTGCCAAGGTTGAAAGCAGTGGTTTTGTAGTAGCACCTGATGGTACTGTGACCAAAGCAGGAAGCTCATCGCGTGGACCCCCGAGACCATTCCAAACCGGAGGTCGGAATGGTAGGGGAGTAATGTTCAACATGGGAAGAGGAGGACCAGGAATGGGAATGGCTGTGGGGATGAACCTTGGTGGTTTAAGAGTCAGCATGGGAAGGGGAATGGGGATGGGTATGGGTCCCGGTATGGGTATGAATATGGGTATCGGTATGGGCATAGGAATGGGTGTAGGACCTGGCCTTGGTCTTGGGTTACCTGGTCGTGGTGGCCCTGGAGGTCGAGGAATGGACGTCCGATACACAGGCCCTTATACTGGCCGTGGATCAGGCGGAAGTCCTCTTGTAGAAGGTTCGTCTTCAAGTAGACGTGGGAGGTCTCATGAAGAATATCCTGATAATTGGTCTAGAAGGGAGGAACGGAGCGTATCTCCAAGAAAGAGGAGGAGCCCTTCTAGGAGATCAAGGTCGCGAACTCACTCCAGGTCGAGATCACGAACAAGGTCTCCGAGGGTGCGCACTCCTCCTCGACCAACGAACTCTAGTGGTAGTGGTGGAGGAGTTGTGGAGAAGAGCATTAAGAAGCGAAGCCACTCTCCTGCTGCTCATAAACCAGAACTGAAGATCGAGAGAGTCGAGTCACCTCCAGCGCGTCGATCAGTACCTCCGCCACCGAAGCTTCCTCTTCCTCCGCCACCTCCGCGAAGCCAGAGGTCACCACCAGCTGGCTTGAAACGCTTGAGTGATAGCAAGAGGGACGGAGACAGAGCTCGGTCGAGAGACCGAGAAAGAGAGAGGGAGAGGCCAACAACGAGAGCGCGAACTCCACCCAGAAGAACTTCTCCCCACGTTGTGCACGGCTCTGCGTTGATGGATGATAGAGATCGGCAATTACTTGCCGGCATAAGACATGTATCGCCAGCTGGCGGTCGACACCGATCCACTGAGAACGCAGGAGCTACCGCAGCCGGCTCTACCCGAGACTCACCCCCTTTGACAAGTCCCTCAGCAACCCTTGGGCGCGTAGCTGAGGGCAATAGTGAGGCACGAAGACAGTCAGGTGATGAAGGTGGTGAGAGTAAAGTGCATGGGCCGAGACGGGAAGAGACCGGTCCTAAAGTGGAGCAGCGAAGCAGCAAAGACGCTTCCAGAGGAGAACGGGAACGGAGTTCAAGAAGAGATGGTGGTAGAGACAGGGATGAGGAGAGGAGAGACGCTAGTAAGATGAGTTATAGCAGCAGAGACAGGGATGGTAGGGGTAGTAGTATCATGAAGTATAATCGAGAAGGAGATGATGACGTGGCTCCCCGGAGGAGGCGGCCATCTCCGTAGTCACTGTGAACTATGAGCAGTAGTTTACTCGGTGGACAGCTTCCCAATTTTAGGGGTAGCTTTTGTCCCAAATGGCTGGTTGGTGAATTGCGAGATCGAGTTGTGTAAGTAACTTCGTTCATTTTCTTGTTCTAATTAGGTTCATAGTGATCACCCTCATCACCCTTTTCTCTAGGGGTTTTCAACCAGTCAGCATATCATGCCTTCACCTCAGTTAATAAAATGAAAATGGTAACTTGTCAAAGTCGGGCTTGTCCTTGTGGTAGGGTTTACTCACATCTTTAACACCTGTTTCCTTGCGGGGATGTGAGAAGTAAACCACATTTACGCACACCATTGTCATTTAGACTGGATTACCCGTAACTTCGAGTATTGTCACTTACTGTGCAACAGGCGCTAATCTTGTCAGTCACAAGAAACGTGAACTTTTAGCTGATGGATTTGCAGGACACTATTCTGATCAATTGCGTTCTAACTTAAAGGAGCTGCGAGGCTGTATCTTGCTAAAGCATGTTTTCTGGATAGCAATAGATTTTTAGGTGGTGATTTTCACTGGGCTTATTACTGTGGAGTGGAGGTGTTACTCTCGACTTTGAAGGTGAGAATAGTTTCTTCGTCTCATCTCTTGAAGATTACTGGCAAAATATCTGAGGAGCGCGATTCTTTCGACGTACTTGTCCTCAACTGTAAGTTAAATGACATTGACATTCCTCAAACTTACAGGTTTGACCCGCGATCAATGTTCATAGTTCATAGCTACCTCTTTTTCTTTGTATAGATTATGGGACCAAGACGTCATGGACATTGTGAAGTTTCCAGGTTCTTTATCCTTTTGGAAGACAATCTTAGATGTTGGAAATTTGGAGTGTCTTCGACGCACCTCGATGTAGCACAAAGTCGAAAGGCAATGACTAGTGGAATCAACTGAACATTGAGAGTAATTTTGAACCCGAAGTTCATAAACCGAGCAGTTTGGATTTACCTCTTACTGAGAACAATAGAAAAAGGAAGCATCGTTTGATTTGTTCATCGCTACCTAAGTTTGCGCCCTTTAAGTTGTAACTCACATTCACATCGCAGATGGCCCAGGCAAATGAGTGAGCTTATGTTCAACAAGTCTGTATGCCATCGGTTCTTATATTGACTGCACACATGTTTTATCAGTTCATCATCTTCTCTTTATTCCAATGTGTGATCGGATTGGAAATATCTACATGTTCAGAACTCAAATATCAGATAAACTTTGCTGCTGCTAAGTATCATGCTACGAAACGGACACTCATTTGCTAATCAGATCTATTTCTCACGAAGAAATATTTTGCACACTCAAATGTCTAGTTTCATACAGTTTGTAGCTCTAATTTACAATTAAAGATGGTAATGATAAGGATTTTGAAATCCCCCTGTACAATATTGGCTGAGAGTAAGTAATTTTTTTATTTATAGTTTATATAGGGGGAGTTTTTCTTAAGATGAAAAGTTTTTTTTTATTCTTATGGTAGTGACATGTATTCCCATGTGACTAGTCACTTTCATACTAGACGGGATCTTCCTTCGTTTTTTGCTGTATTATTCAGTGACCTTCAAGTTTCCTCTATCTATACTTCCACGTGTATTCATACGGACTGTTAGGAACATGACTTGTGTTCCGTCGCTGTGAGTCTAGCATTCAGTGCACGTTATACATGATCTTGTACGGTATATCCTGTGCTATTGACAAGGACGTTTTTATTCCTCCTGCTGCATTTGTTGAATTTCCAGCTGTTGCTGCACTTCCAGTTGTTTTCTGGTTAAATGCCCTATCTTCTGATAGAGTCTATAATCCTAGTTAGCTGCGTCACATGCATGATATACTTGCAGCAGATACGAATGCTCTCCTAGTTACACCTTTGGTTGGTTGTCTCCGCTTCTTTCTATTTTTCTCAATATGTAAGCCTCTTGCTGTATTCTGTCTAAAGTTTCGAAACCTGAGACACTTGTTTGAGACACCTGAAACAACTGCAGCAAGCATCTCTGTTTCAGGTGTCTCAAACAAGTGCTCATTTTCATGCTTGCTGCATGAAAATCCAAATCATTATGTTAGGTATATCATTCAAAAAAAATGTGACTCTTCCTACTTCTCGCTGCTCACCAATTTACCATTCAACTTCAAGAAGATAAACCATCCATTTTGTGAATGGTATATGGTAAAAATATCAACTCGTGAGATCCAAAGGGTCAAAAGGTTGGAAAACACAATGCAAACAATTCAATTCCAAACTAAGAGAACCAAAAGAACACACTATCTAGTGCAAGAACGCAAGAATGTTAACTAATAACATTCATAATGTAACAAACAAAATCATAAGACTGAAGATGAAGCAAAGAATAAAAATTTTCAACAACTTTATGAGTCTCTCAGAACTCTATTTGAAAGTAAGCCTTGCTAGTTTGTATCCAAAATCAAACCATCCATTATAAGATAGTACTTTAGTAATCTTAGAACTATGACTAAAAAAGAATTTCGATGGAAAATTTTTGAGCAATTCTATGAGTTGTAAGTTAACGGTATGTGAATCTGGACTTCATATGATGTGAGTTAAAAAGATATTGTAGATGTTATACATAAAGATTCCTTTTATAATGATCTAAGCGAAACTTGGGAGAAGCTAAAAAGTATTGGCAAGGTGAAGCAAAGGTTGATTTTGACATTGAAAGTGTAAACAAAAGAGTTGCATGGTCTGATCCAGGTCAAGGATCAAGAACATCAAAACTAGAGATCAGATAATTATTAATCAAGGAACACAAAAAAAAATCTATTGCGCTAGCACCGGGAGAGGAAAAACAAGTATTAAACTGACAATTGGGGAAACAAGAGGTTTCATAAAGAAAGTGCTATGTCAAAGAATTTTTGGAAGTATCAAAAGAGATTCTAGACCACAAACTATCGTAAATTTCTTCAAACATAGAAGATGTCAAGGAATCACTAAATTGAACACATTGTATACAAGCATTGAAATCTCTAGCTAGAAAGATATCCCCTCTGAAATCTAAGATGTCTCCAATAAGGTGATGAAATGGTTTGCTTTGGTTGCAAAAGTGTGATGAGAAAGTACCCATGATCAATGATGCAAAATAACAAATTGCCAAATAACAATACAATACTCTAACCATACCGAAACGTAGTCAATGATACTTTACGCCGACACCTTAAGCTTCTAGATGTATGAGAGGTAGAAGATGAGACTTGATGAAAGTAGCAAAACCTCCTTGGTACCTTCTCGCATGCAGTATCACATTGTGAATTCTCAAATTTGATTGTGTGCAAGAGTTAAAGCAGCTGCTTGCATCTTGAATTCATGTCAAAGTTCCTTCAATTCTCCAAAGATTGTTTGCAGAAGCTGAAAAATATCGTCTTGAGTAGACATATCGAAGCAACTTGATATTTCGGTAACACCCGAACACTCAAAACTCAAAGTCAAAACTCCAAAAATCTCCTAACTTTGTACTCAAACATAAATTCAGCTTCAAACTTTGCAGACTACTGCGCACTACTGATCTTCCAGTCAGTAAAAAGTTTCAACATCAGATCATGTTCCGTCTCGAACACACAATTTTTTGAAGATTTTGATTACCACCCGAACACTTGAAAGTCAAAGTCGAAACTCCAAAAATCTCGTAAGTTCAAACTCAAGCATCCATTCAACTTCAAAATTTGCATTATACTGCAAACTAATGATCTTCCAGTCTCTACAAAGTTTGAGCTTCAAATCGTGCTTTGTGTTAAAGATAAAATTGTTTGAAAATTTTGATAATCACATGAACATTCAAAACTCGAAACTCACATAACTTCTGACTTAAGCATACATTCAACTTCAAAATTTTTTGGCTACTGCAAAATACTGATTTTCTAATTGCCAAAAAGTTTCAGACTCAAATCATGCTATATTCTCGAGAAATTCGTGAACTTCGGAGTCGCGACTCCTAAATGCGTGAAATTTTTTAGACTGGACCGCGGTAACCAACTTCATGCTGCTTTAAATTTTCAGCCTCGGTAGACACTCCAACGCAAAGAAACAATCTTTGCAAGAAACGATCTCGACTGCATCACTTGAAATTCCAACTAAGAACTCAATAAATTTGTGAATTTTGGCTTTTCGACTTTCAAATGCGTGAAATTTCTCAGGCTAGAGCACGCTATCTAACTCCAAGTCTTTGCAAACTTTTAGCCTCGGTAGACACTTCAACAGATAGATTCAAGCTCTGCAAGAAACAATCTCGGCCCCAACACTTGAAACTCCAACTCGAAACTCTAGAAATTTGTGAACTTCGGCTTTGCAACTCCAAAATACCTGACATTTTGCAAGCTAGAGCGCAATATCCAAGTCCACGCTCATACAAATTTTTAGCTTTGATAGACAATCAGACTCAAAAAAACAATCTCTGCAAGAAACAATCTTGGTCCAACACTTGAAACTTCAACTCAAAACTTAAGAAATTTGTGAAGTTCGGCGTCGCTGAAATTCATGAATTTAGTTAGAAGATTGAAACGCTAATTTAGATGATTGAAACGATATCGAAATTACGGAACATAAAGAATCCAAGTTACTCAAGACACCAACAAACTTAGAAAGTGGTTTGTACTTTCATTACCTTTGAAAGTTGTAAGTTTTGAAAGTTGTAGGTTTTAAAGATTTGTTGTAAGTTTGTTGGAGGTTTGATTATCTCGGATCATGATATGAATTTGCTTTCACATCAACAACAATGCCTGTCGTAATCTTTTGAAACTCAAAAATTTCATCTTTCTTTTTTTATCATCCCGTTTGATGGAACAAAAATCAACAACAAAAACAAATGAACAACAAATCATTGTTTACTTGTAGTAGACGGTCGGCACCTTTGAGATCACGTTGTATGTTAAAATATCACACAACATGGCTGAGTTACACACAAAGATAGGGATTTCTTGTGCTACACTTTGTATGTGAGGAAAAACTAACAAGCATTAGCTACACCCGAGTGGGGAGTGATTTGTGATTTGTTATCGATTATGTTCACGGTAACAAAAATTTTTACTCTCACTACTCAACAAGACAAACTAATAGTTGGAGGTTTAAGTAGTTACAATCAAAACTCTAACTAACTTTCAAAATGATAGTTCAATTGAATTGCAATTTAACAAAAATTGCTTTAAAAAATCATTTAGTTTTGTGCATGTTTTCGAATAATTTTAACCTCTAGGTCTTGTTAGAAGCAAAGA